CAACCTTTCACATCCATCTCGGATATTCATATTTAATGTTGTTAAAGGTAGACATTTTCTTTAAATAGCATTTAAAAGTAATGTTATGACAAAACAAATAAAGAAAATATTCAAATCATTTTTTGATTGAGACAAAAAGTTTTAGAATTTAATAACAAAGTTAAGTGGAAAAATACTTATTAGGGAAATCAACCAAAATCTTTTAGATGCCAAGGTAAGTTATAAATTGCTAACTTCAAGAACAGATATAATACAAATAATGAACAAAAAAGTGATATAAGGTAACAAATTAATAAACAGTGATATTAATACTGACTGACTAGACTGACTTTGAAGTTTGACTATGAAGTTGATTTAGGAAGTGCCCTCAAGCAATAGCACAAAAATAACTTTAAAAACAGAAATTATACATGACTTGAGCTAAAACAATAACCAAGTGTTTAAATGTTTTCTGGATAATAAAACCTAGTACATAAGAATTTATGGAACACAGATGAGTATAGTATGTATTTATATTACTTTACAATATTGTTTAATTCAATACTGAATTATAACAATGTGTTCATTCTTGCAGAATGGAAAAGCCTAATGACAAAACTTAGTTAATCATATGATAACTGTTTCCCGTAATTTCACATATGTATTACATTATTGCTCTGACCCTAAGTACCGTATGGTACTTAATAAAACTGTATGGTTAATAAAATAAATATTGTTTTTTAAATCTGTCTGCTAGTTCTGATGATTAGCACGTTTAAACAATCAAAAAACCCTCAGTTTTATTATATTAGTATAGACTTCAAGAGTGCGTTATACGTCGGCAAGTTGCCATTCCTCAACTGATAATTGTAATCTAACGTCTAGTACCTAACCAATGTGTCCAACGAACGACCTATTGCTCTACCGCTTGAGAAATAAATATGAACGACTAACTGTGAATACAAATGTCTCAAGGCGCTATGGCATTTGTTTGGAATGTTGTAATGAAAGGCCTCCCGCGCAACTTGGTGAAAGTGGATTTCCTCATAGCAAAGTAGGTAACGTACTTCAAACCAAATTACAATTATACAAACAACATTATTCAACAAATAATACACTGATTTTCGAAAAAACTAATTAAATTCTTACAAATATAAGAACTATGAAGATACTTAATGGTAAAACAATTTGTTAAATATGATTACGACTAAATCTATGAAAAGTTATAATATAAACAAGTACTTACAACATTTTTATTATCGTGTGAAGGCACACGCAGGTGTGCAAACTTTTATACTAGAAACCCATCTTAAACGCAATTAAAGCACGGGAAAAATTAATACACGTCCACTAATTGCGATTCATTGCCGAGTAAGTGAGTGAGTTGACTTATGAGCAGTGTTGCCAACAGTTATAAATGAACTCTCCACCAGATTCAACATCTAAAACCACCAGAAAACCACCAACAAAAAACTACTCTACTCTAACAGGCACTAAATTTTTCACTTAACATTTTTTTAGTAATTACGAAAGAAAACCATAAGTAAAAAAATAACTAAGTACCAAAAAATTTAATTAGAGTTCTAAATTAATACGATTCTTTGGTACTGATTTATTTTACAACGTATATGGGCATTTCATATTTGTTGCAGCACTCTCCTTACAGCTTCAAACCACAGCGTATTCTTAACAGAGCAGATAAAAGATTTAACTTCATTCTATTCCTCTGTTTATACCTATAGTCTCCACACTCAACATCGGCATTGTAACGAGGCAGTATTGAGAGTAATACCAAAGGTCGCTAATTCCTCAAATATCGAAGTTCCTTTGGCCCCTTGGGCATTTTTGAAGAGCAATACCTCTAGTATGTGAAAGTTCCATAACACGTTGCGCATTGGTGGACAACAACAGATCGAGTTTTATTGGTTTGCATTATATCAATCTTCATTTCTCTTCTGCTACTTTACTGGATCATTAAACATAGAGTTAGACTTTGAATTATATCGCTAGTCTACCCAGACCTAATATTGTCAACTTTGAATTTTATCCTGCGCTTTCGGGGTACATCAAAAAGATCACCTGTCTGTCTGTTGTAACGCAACGATTTGCAAGCCCTAGGATGACAGTTACCATCATGGATTACGTCACAACACACAAACAAACAACAGCGTACACAAACAGTTATCACAGTTCATAAATCAACAGCATTTCCTAAGTTCTCTAAAATCTTACTAATACTACTAATAACAAAAAAAAAACAACTAGTTACTAAAAGCAAAATTTAATAAGAGGGATTGGTTTCAACCACTCCTTTTAGTGGGAAATCTACTAGCTTGGTAGCACTGCTTGTGAGTGATAAAAAGAGAGGAAGTATGAGGGACGAAGGACCAAAAGAGCGAATTGTTAACAATGTTGCCACATCTTAAATCTATAGAGGCCGTTCTTTGTATAATTTAAAATTCAATAAATATGTAAAATAATAATTTATTTATGGAAATAAATAGTTATTATACATATTTACTTAATTTACATTGATCTTCGAATAGAAACGTAATGTATTTAGTATTGACTGACTTGAGTTTTTCTTAAAAGTAAATACATGACGTTTCTTATTTTATTTAATCTACACCATTTTATTCAGAATCTTTAGGCATTTTAAAGAGCTGAAATTTTTTTACCGATAGCAGTCTTAAGTGAAATGTATGTTTTACCATATTATTGTAGTGTAAACTAGTATTTGTAATGCGATTTGGTTATTTTTTAAGTTACCAGTTAAAAAAATTGTTCACCAAAAATGTTAGGCAGATGACGCAATTTGTTCACTCAATTGCACAGTTTATTTTATATTACTTCAATGCATTATAAAATACTTTGCAATATACTTGAATATACAAATATGCTAAAACTTATTAGATATAATGATTAGATAAATTAATTAACTTGCGATTTAAGATTACAGATAAATAATATAACAATGTACTTAATGATTAGTTCATCTATAATTTTTCATAGTAAAGAAATTGAAAACCGTTATCCGTCTTCAATAGTTCTGTCGAAAATAGCGTCATTTATAACAGTAACGATTTTGTTAACTGGTTCATAACTATAATTACCATAGAGAGAACATGGAGTACAGCTCCTTGTAAGTGGAAGGGATACGAACGCGATAGATGGATGCCCGATAAATCCCTGTCTCTGTTTAGCTAAGCTACGATTGGCTACTTATTAAACCCTCATATTCCCCAGCCAAACACAAAGCTCGACTAGAAAGAGATAGACGCAAAAGCTAGTTGCATTTATTAGGGCACGTCCAGCCTGGTTCCCCGGCTATTAGTACCCGAGACGGCATGCGGTTTTAGTCGGTTCGTGTCCGACATGCCACCGACAGGTGGTATCCGAGGGGATTTCCGCACGAAAAAAAAACAAAAAAAAAGGGTACGTCCAGCGTGCAAGCGATGTCGCGCGAGTCGTTGGAACGTATAGAACTAAACGGCTTAGTGCGACGTGCCTGCGACTACCGGTGGTTGCGCGGTAGGTGTTATTCAGAGGTGGATTTCGATTGCACGTTTTGCTATTTATTTTATTATTTGATAACGCGGTAAAGTTTGTATCACCTATATCAATTTATCTATGTATATAGCAGTGTCCCTTTTTTAATAGTGTGTATGATGTAATCAAATGTGTCTATTTTCATTTTATAGTAATCGAACGATCTATCTTCATGTTGTCTGAGATCATGATCATACATGTGATGAGATTCGCCAAAAGAAAAGCATAGGTAGCATATTAATTTGATGAATATCAAATCTTCTCATCCTTCTGATGGCATTAATCCGTAAAACAGAATTTTCAATTGCTATGTATCGGTCGCAAGTAGTCGCTGATTACTAGTCGCCCGCACGCTGCACTGTTTTTCGTAGATGGAAGTCGCCGCGACCAAGGTCGAGCGACATCGCTGGCACGCTGTACGTGGCCTTACTGTCATTTCTATTAGATCTCCTGTCAGTTTCCCAATTGAATTAGGGGGTCAGTCGGTTGCACCAGGGACTTCCTTTCTAGGGTATACCTGGTTCCGGCTATTGGTACCCGAGACGGCGTACGGTTTTGGTAGGTTCGAGTCCGACATGCCACCGATAGGACCACCTATCGGTGCGGAAATCCCCTCGGATACCAATCCGAGGGGATTTCCGCACGGTAAAAAAAAAGCCAAAGGGTCAGTCGGTAAAATTTCGAACGTTTCAGGCAGATTTCTTTTTGACCAGCTTTGGGGCAGGGAAAGAAGAAAATTAAGGAAACGAAAACGGATAGGGCGAAGAAGCTAAGGTAAGGATAAGGGACACTGCAAGTTTCAGATAGAGAAATGGGACTGAGACTGCAATGGATCGTGTACCAGTGTGATTATTCTCTTCATTTATATTAGGATTATTACTTTAGTAATCGATAGTATTGCAATGAACTCTCGATATTATAGTGTGGTGTAAGCAATTCGTATCAGTCATTTGCATTGCATAAATTTGCACCTGCTGCGATCAAACTGGTTAAATTTAGATCTTGTCGGATTCTGCAATTAAATTACGTTGCTCACATATTTTACCTTCAAGACAGTAGGCAGTTAACTATACATTACTCTGCCACTAACGAATATTCAAAACAGGCAAGGCCGTAGTCATCTACCAATGTTCTTCCCTAGTTTACTGTTTAACTGTCACATAAAGAGCCAGAGAGAGACAAAGGGACAGTCATGCTTCGGCATATGTGGGCCCGTTTAACCGGACTGACATAACAGCCTACTTTCGATGACTTTAACCAAATGAGTGAGGTTAGACCTCCGGTAAGCCTAACCTTCCCCTATAATACCGGGGAGGAGGGGAGGGCACTCGGAGGCCGGTACCGCACTTGTGAGTTACAGCAAGAGAGAGAGATCTGCAAATGCAATGCAATTTTTTTTTTTTTTTATTTGTTAACGTGTAACGGACGTGTCTGTGAGTCGTGTGAAAGAAACAGTTATAAAAACTTAATAAATGGCCGTCAAGTGCAATGGCTGTGATGGTGTTATGGCCGACAGGCTATACATGAAGTGTTCACGAGGGGAGTGTGGAAAGACTTATCATTTATCGTGTCTAGCCATTACCATCGAAAAATTTAAGGAGTTCACCCTGGAATACAGAAGTCAGTGGACATGCCCCGAATGTGTGTGCTCCATTCCCAAGGGGAATAACTCAGATACACCAGTACGTAGTCACGTAACGATTGATAAATCTTTTACGCCGGGCAATTACCTAAATACTGGGCGCGGCAGCAAAAACCCAAACACATCATTTGTGGCTAATAAGGAGGATATCATAATAGAAGAAATTCGAGAGTTTCGTATGGAAATGAAAAATAAGCTAGAAGATCAAATTAAAGAATATAAACTTCTGAAAAATAGATTTACAAAATCGGAAACAGAGTTAGAAGAATTAAAAAAACAAGTGAAGGTGCTTCAAGAAAAAACAGCAATAATAAGTGTATTAGAAACTAAAATAGAAATATTAATTCATAAGAATGAATTATTAGAAGCAAGTGTCAATAGAAAACGTCCTTTAATAAATAATATTGAAACAAATGTGCAAAAAGAACCTACTCTTTCTTTTGCGAAAGTTGTTCAGAACAATAAACAAAAGCAGGTAGTAAGTGAAATTACAACTATGGAATGTATGGCCACGAAACCGTCGGACTTAGTAAGGAGCGAAGAGAAAGCTCAACTTGATAATGGCTGTAAAATATTAAAAACAACTCAGACGAGTGAAAAGGGAGAAGAAAGAAATGGAATTAAGTTTGGTGACAGCGAGAAGAAAAAAGAACAAGAATCAGAAAAAGAAGGAAGTTGGAAAATGGTAAATAAGAAAAAAGGAAGATACCCGAATAGTGTGGTAAAAAGAGGAGGAAGTACCGCTGCAGTTACCATCAAGGGGACCGAAAAGAAAAAATTTTTGCACGTATGGCGTCTCCAAAAAGATACTATGGTAGAAAATTTAGAACAGCATGTTAAAAGTATATTTGAAATGGATGTCCCCATCACGGTGGAAAAAATAAGGCATAAAACAGAAAGGGACTACGCTTCCTTTATTATCGGAATACCGGAAAGCAAGTATAACATTTTATGTCAACCGGAAAACTGGCCAGTGAACATTGAATTTTGTGAATGGGTGTGGTTTCGTGGAACGCTCAATAAACCCATCAAAACCTAAGCAATCTATTAAGGTTTATTATCAAAACGTGCGCGGACTAAGGACAAAATTAGAGGAATTTTGTGCAGGAGTGGCGTCTGTGAGTGCTGATTTACTAGCCATCACTGAAACAGGCTGCAACGAGTCAATTCAAGACGCAGAAATCATTCCACCCGGATATACGCTAATACGCTGTGACCGCGCTGATGGCCGAAAGCAGGGAGGCGTATGTCTCGTGGCCACACCGCGCTTCGAGCTGCGGCGAGTGTCCGGCGCGAGTGACGTCAATATCGACGACCATGTCTTCGAGTTAGTTAGTGCTACGGTGCACCTGCACAATAGACTTTTATTTTTGTTGTGTGTAGTATACATTCCGCCTAGTAGTTGTGAAAGAGAGTATATGGTGTTATTTAAGATCATTGAACATTTGTGTCGTAAATACTGTAATGTCTTAGTTGTAGGGGACTTTAATTTTTATTCATGTTCGGTTGAAGTAAGTAATTACTTTGAGTACTTTAAAAGTTATTGTGGATTCACTCAGTGCAATGAGATAGTTAATCGTAACGGTCGGTGTTTGGATTTGGTGTTAGTGTCACTCGCGAGGGGTGGTAGTGCGAGGGTGCGCGCGGCAGAGGAACCGCTGATAAGTGTGGATGCTCACCATCCGCCTCTAGAGGTGCTGGTTGAGCTGCGATCTTTTGAGGGTACTGAATCGCCCACGTCAGAGGAGAAAATGGGATTAGAGGAGCGGCCATCTCAAGGTTGGAATTTTAACAAAGCAGATTTTTTATCATTATACTCATCAATAGCAAATATAGATTGGAATAATATTTATAATTTAGATTTAGAAGGTAGTTTAGACTATTTTTATCAAAGTATTAACGCAATATTAGATGACTGTGTTCCAAAAAAACAGCGAAGGCATGTAAGCTCGAAGTACAGTTACCCCGAGTTTTACACAGCTGAAATAATTCGCAACATACGACATAAGGCATTTCTGCACAAGCGTTATAAAAAAAGCGGGGCAAGGTCTGATTACGAGGCGTTCGCTCTGTGTAGGGCTAATGTAAAAAAGATGATTCATAACGCGCAACAACAGTATAGTGAACGAGTGCAACATCAATTGTTAAAGAACCCTAAATCTTTTTGGAGTTTTATTAAATCAAAAAGAGGTAATAGAAATCCAAACAGAATATTAAAAAACGGGGAGATACTTTCGGCAGAGCAGTGCGCGGTAGAATTTGCTCAGTATTTTCATTCAGTTTATTTAGATAAAAGACCTGACTTGAATGTTAGTGCTGCGATAGCAGAAGCAGGCGGCGAGAATGGAGCGGCACGTATTCACCTGGAAGAATTACAGCTGAGTGAGGTAAGGCGAGCTCTACAGCAACTTAAGCCGAAGAGGTCCGCGGGGCCGGATGGCATCCCCCCTTACATATTTAGGGACTGTGGGTCGGTGTTGGCTGAGCCATTGCTGCACATCTATAATCGGTGTCTTAAAACTGCTGTGTTTCCCGAGAGATGGAAAACAACCCGTGTCGTGCCAGTACCAAAGGGGACGCTAGGAGATAAAATCGAGGGTTATAGACCGGTAGCGGTACTGTCATCACCCGCAAAAGTTTTGGAGTCAGCTATCCATAAGACAGTTTTCTCACAGGTTCAAGCGCAACTCTCGGAGGCTCAACACGGGTTTAGACCAAGGAGGAGCACCACCAGTAACCTCCTGAGCCACGTGACGTACGTGGTGCCAACGGTGGACGAAGGGGGGCAGGTAGATGCGGCATACTTCGACTACAAAAAAGCATTTGACCTAGTCGACAATGACACGCTTCTCAAGAAGTTAGCTGGCGTCGGTTGCACCCCGCACTTGCTCAGGTTCTTTGCCAGTTACTTGAAGGATAGGAGGCAGTATGTGGAGTATGCGGGACATGTTTCGGCGCCATATTTTACGTGGTCAGGTGTAAGTCAGGGAAGTAACCTCGGACCCCTTCAGTTTATTATCATGATAAATGAGCTGCCAAAGGTCGTGGAACACGCGAAATGCTTGCTGTTTGCGGACGATCTCAAGTTATCGTTACCTGTAAATGGTAGGGATGACTGCGGGCGTCTGCAAGAAGACATTGATAGGGTAGTGGCATGGAGTAGTGATAATAGATTGAAATTTAATCTTAATAAATGCGTGACTATCACTTTTTCACGCGCTCATGCCCCTATCATTTTTAGTTATAGTATTGAGGGGGTGCCTATGACTAGGGTCACAGAAGTCCGAGATTTAGGAGTTATTTTTAACACAGAGCTAACGTTTCGTAATCATATTGTCAAGTGCTGTAAGAAGGCTTTTAGAAATTTAGGTTTCATATTACGTACCTCTCGAAATTATGAAAATATTAAAGCAATTGTTGCTTTATACAATGCACTGGTGAGGAGCCAATTAGAATGCAACGCAGTCATATGGGCTCCACATGAAACTAAATATAGTCTCATGGTGGAGCGTGTACAAAATAAATTTATTAGATTTTTATATTTACGTCTATACGGAGTGTATCCCTTCTACCCACTCATGTATCCAACTCTGTTTGTTCTAGGCATGGTTGGATACAGTGAGTTGAGAGTCAGAAGGGAGTTTATGCTAGTAGAATATATATTTAAAATTATTAGAGGTAGGATACACAATGCAGATATATTGGGTTTGGTAAGGCTATGGGTGCCGGATAGGTACGTCTGGCGCCGGCGCCGGCCCCGGCTGCTGGTGGTGCCAAGAGGGCGTACCAATCTTCTAAATGAGGCGCCTCTGTCTCGGGCGCTCCGCACGCTGAATATCGTTGCGGAGGAGATTGACATATTTCATTGTTCTCTGAGTGAATTCACTAAAGTAACAATATTTACAATATGTTATAAAGAAAATTAAAATTTGCTTCGCTATTGCATTGGGTTTGTAACCTGTAAAAATAGATGTAAGTTTGGTTATAAATAAATAAATAAATAAATAAATAAATAAATAAATAAATATTTGTTTCGGAGTATGAATGTTTTCTATGTTTCTTATATACATTTGTATTTACAAAAAATATATACATATGTAAGTATTCAATCAGTCAATCTAGATTTCATAGTACAAGCGCTGCTTAGTTTGATGGTCAGATGTCCAAAAATATTATTGTTATTGCTTACCATCAGGTGACTCGTCTGTTTATTTACCCCTTATAATATAAAAAAACTGGATTTGGTAGCCCTTTCTTTTTTATCGCGGTCGACTTCACAGTTTGATATAATTTCCTCTTTCACAATGACTACTTTTTTCTTTAGCTACTAAATAAAAACAGGGAAATAGAAAAACTACCAAAAAAATGTCAGATAATTTTCTAACAAATTATTGTATAAGTTTTAGGCCAATTCTACTGGATTCATGCAGAATAGAATCACGGCAGAGCCATGCTTCGGCGAAAAAAAAGAGCCATCTCGACCGCCCTTCGGCTCAAAGGCCCCTTATACTACGAGTATATCTTTAAAGCAGTTGGCCAAAAACTTAATATTTTCTTGCAAGAGGAACCTATTCCAATATTAACTCACAGAATTCACTACTCTAAGTAAATGCCTCTTTAAATCTATTTGAGAAGCTCGTGTGCGTTGCCTCAGCGGAAAACGTTCGAATTTCTTTGAGTTTAACAGATATTTAGTGTATGATGACTTGTAATTGTGTATGGTAAGTGAAAATTTGTGTATCCAACCATTGGGACTAATTAATGAGCCTATGATGACTGAACTACTGCCATATAAGCAGTGTTATTTATATTACACGAGATTCTAAAGGAAATGCGTAATAAAACAAATTCAAGACAATGTAGGCTAACTACAAGCTAAAAACTACAGCTCTCTAGAAAAGCGTTTTATATGAAATCTAGGAAATGGCCAAACGTTGTCCCAGCGGAAACAGTTTTTCTTGAATAACTCCCCAATGGTTAGATGCACAAATTTTTACTTACCATACACATTTACCCGAGGTCATACACTAAATATCTGTTAAACTCAATGAAATTCCAACTTTTTCCGATGGGGCAACGCACACGAGAAGCTCGGGCTCTAGTGAATTAGTTAGATGATTATCAGTATAATCAATATAGAGTACGTATAGTTTACGTAGTCGTACGTAGTCTTTTTTGCTTCTGCATGGGGGGGGATTTCTATTTTGGGATGGATCTACAGCCATCGGTCGGTCGCCAGAAACTCGTTCGTCATTCAGCAAGATACACCCCGAGCAGGTGAGGTTGGCTTGGGGCGAAAGATGTGTTTCGTCCCCTCACATCGGAAGGAGGTGAACCGGCAGAGAACCAAGGTCACCGACATAGCCTACCAGATCAGCAACCTGAACTGGCAGTGGTCTGGCCTAATCTAAGACCGCGTCTCGTCACACGTAGTGTAAGACGCTCACAGGCCAGATGGAGTGATGGATGCGAGCCCAAAATCGATCCAAATGGGTGCAATGGGAGAGGCCTATGTCCAGCAGTGGACTGCAATAGGCTGATGTTAGTTTAATCTAGACCTATTTTAACATGTTGTATACTATATATTTATTTCATGTTTCTATTTAAACGCATATTATTACTACGTAAACGCTGGTTACGTGTTCAGGTTTAGCCAAGGTTAATATAAGTTGCAAATTCTATACATAATTATACAACTCTGTCTTTTGAACTAGGTTTTGAGAGACATTATTTAATTAAAGTATACTCGGCTTGGTTGTAAGACAAATTAACTGCTTTTAGAAATTAAAATTTAATTCAAGGCTAATTTTATGAAAATTTCATACTGTAACATTCCAAATTAGATAAATTAATAAGAGCTATGGTTTTTGTGTCACAAAAGTTCGGCACGCACACGATCCTTGTCTGTTGACCAGCATCTCCTAAAACGCAAAAGTCTTGATTACTATGAATATTATATTCGTACATACAGTCAAATCACAGTTAAATTATAAATCATTGAGACTTGTGTTGTCCTTGTCACTTCTATATTTAAGTGACAAGGATCCTTAGGTAAATATTCTAGTTACAGTTGTGCAGGCGCTACAGGTAAGTGAGTACACAAAATGTGAGGACCGAATTCATCAATGGGTTTGTGTTAAGAAAATTTATAGTCCAAGATTATTAATGTGGATCTTCCCAGTAAATTTTTTGGTTCATTTCTTTTTTACCTCCTCTATATTTACACTGTATTGCGCTGAATCCGAATCGGAAGTCGAAATACCGAATTAGGTCTGGTTTTTTAAATATCCTAACCTAAAAGTTCAAAAATAGCTGTTTTGGCCATTTTTGATGTTAAGTGGCTTCGTAACATTATTTTTGTCCCAAAAAAATCTTATCTTAAAGTATAAGCCTTGACCTTTTAAATTTGCGTTAAGTTTGCTGAGATATCTTTTTTTTCGCAGAGATATCACGTTTTACAAGCTTCTTAGTTTAGAAAAATCCTACAAACCATATGCTCATATAGTATGAGAATCAGAATTCACAAATCTCAAACGCATAAAAACTAAACCAGGCGCGGTCCGAACGGGGGGTCACAAGGGACATGACCTCCCCAAAGTCGTACACGCCAAATTGAAAAAAAAAAACTTTAAAATTTACAAAATAAAAAAAGGAATTTCGATGCTTTTCCTTGGTTGTGAATGTTGTGAGAGTAGTTGTGACTGAGAACGAAAATAAAATATAAGTGTATAATTATTAGTATTACCAATTTGATTTGATGATCAGAGCGTTGATTAATGATAATTTGATAATAATGGTAAGTAATTTTAATATCTAGGGTAAGTTCTTATTTTTATATGACTCTCGTTGTGTGGGTGAGTTTGTAGGTTAGGTATTGCACTTTTTATAACTTGGATGAAGTTGTATGAAGCTTGAACGAAAGGTTGATACGAGTAAGATCACGTCACGCGTATCGCCTACTTCCCACTTGATCATGGGATTTAAGTTCATTTATTTTAGTATAAAACATAACTTAACTGAAACCATAACTGCTTAAATTTGCATATTATAGTTTTAATTTTTTTCATGAAAACTTGAGGTGTTTTTTAGTTTTTAGTAAGTTGTGATAACTGATAGTTTCGTTACTCATTTGACGTGACATTACTCGAGATAACCAGTGGGTAGCTTAGGTTTTGGCCAAGAATCTTTTTATTTATCTATTTTATGAAAAGATCTAAAAATGCGAGGGCTAAAAGCGATCTGTGCTCGTTTAATTGAATTTGTTATAACATAAATAAAAATTCTTTCATTGATAAATCTCATAGAAATTCTTCATACTCCTACCTACCCTAACTTAAGGTGTAAGGTAGGGTAAAAAAACAAAGCCTGTTGCACTAGAAAAGGTCATTGATGTTTGTTAGAGATTTACCTACCTTCCTTATATTATAAAAAAAATCATATTTTTTGCTATTGCCTAAAGTGGCAACAATTATCGATAGTAAAAAATATGACCATCGTCATCATCCATCAGTTGAGCAGTATTATCTCCCGTTACCTACTCTAACTCGGAGTTAAAGTAGGTGAAGCTTATTTTATTTGGCACTGTATTCCTTTTTGGTAAAATATACCGAATATTTTATAATTTAGATCTTCTAAATATTCATCCAGAGATAGCTCAAAACGTCTAAAAAATTACCACCCGATTTGCCAGTTTTCATTTGTTTAATAATGTGTGCAATAAAATCTATTTACTCGACAAATATATTTTTTAGTGTCCCCCTTCAAAATTTCAGGCTGCGACCGCGACTGACCTAAACTTAACAACCTCAAACCTGACAACCCAAACCCAACACCTCCAAACTTACAATCCCGAATTCCACCAATGGTTTCGAGTTAAGAAAAGGTGTAAGATTAATAAACCTCACATTTGTAGCGCCCGGTCTACAGAACGAAACACAGAATTTAAATCAAATTGTTAAAATCTGACTGATTGTTCCTGAGATTATCGCTTTTGAACAAACATCAAAATGAAAAACTAAGTGTTTAACATCTTAATAGATTATTATTATATGCTATTATTATTATTATATGAGGACTAAAAATAAGCCGTGAATGGATATATAGATGTGTAAGTGTAGTAAAATAGTGTTTGATGTATATACCAAACTTCAGTCTGCAATACCTTACCTTTGTAAATTTCAGTGGAAAATTCTTCAGAATTGCCACAAAAATATATCGCTGGACAGTTGTAAATAATAAAAGGGTCTGTATCTGTACATGGAGTGCACGGTATTGTATCAGGGCAAGTAGGCGCCAGATGTCTCCACTGTAGCGTTTTTTTTCATAGCTTCTAGGCTATTATTTACTTTACTGTATCTCATAATATCCTTGATTGGTTCACCTGAAGTTCCTAAACATGTAAAACCTGCAATTGAAATTTGGTTGTAAAACCTTTAAAAACCTCAGCTTTGAAATATTGTTTGACTATAAATAAGAGCAATGATACTCTAAGGAATACTGATATCAATTTTTTTATTCATTCAAAATCAGTCAGAGTAAAAGCAATATTACTTATTTTAAGACAATCTTCTTGAAAAAAAATCTGTTACCTCCAATATCACACTCATATGGATTTGAAACCCTGTTAAATGACTTGTACTCTACTGCCTTAGGAAACAAACCTGGAAACATAAAACAATTATTATCTAAATAATTGTAATTTGAATAATGATTAATAAAATAATGATAATGAGTTAAGGCTTAAAACGCACTTGCAGCTGGCCGTGATGCGGCTTGCGGACTGCGTCGGTGCGTATGAACGACGCTGTGCGCCGCACCGGTTAAGCGCAGCGGCCCGCTGCAGTCTCGACCCAACCGCGACGGTAGGCTGGCCGCACGTTAGTGAGTGAACATCATGCCTTTTCATATAAAAATCCATGTGCGGTGAGACAGATTACGGCTAACCGCAAGTGCGTTTTAATCCTAAGCATTATGAATGACTAAGAAATATTTTAAATCTTACAATAATGAAAGGGCTTTTGTGGCAACATTATTCCTGTAGGGTCTTTACTACTTGGCATCAGATCCAAGGGTGTCACACCACTAACTGTAGCTGCAAAAGTGTCCATTAGTTCTACAGATGAAACAAACTCAGCTTCATTCACTCCAGTTTGTGTTGAATGATATGCAAAAACTCCACCTATAATTAATTGTAAACAAAGTAAAATTGTAATGTACATGTAATATAGTTTTTTTTTTTTAATCTAAGCGATGTTAATGTGGTGTGATCTTTTTATTGCTTGCTATCAATAGTGAAGAAATTAGTAACAGGTAGGATTTTTTTACACACAGATGGACAATCTTTAGTCCATATGTGTGTCTTTGGAAGATTACTTTTTTTTTCAGTAGTCAGTAAAGTGCAAGTTTATTTTACATCACAAAGAGAATTTGAGTTTGATTTTACTACTGTTGTGAGGAGACCAAAGCGTTTGGTTCAAAGTGAATCTACAGAAACAATAAATATTGAGAGGGTAGATGAAAACAAAAACACTATAGAAGAGAACGTACAGCTATAAATGAGCTTTAAATCGTTAAGCATGTTTCCAAAATAGATTTAGAAATTAATACACATAAATGGTAAACATATACCATACCAGCAACAATAACCCGAACAATTTTTGAGACTTCCTCTTGATATTCTGAAGTCCCTGACAATCCAGCCAACCATTCCAAAAACAAATGCATTGAAAACATATTGTCTGCTGTGTTTGATGCATTTAGGCCTGATACCAGTACAATATACCTGAAAACAAGATCATAAAAATATATGTATATATACAGGATTGTTTATGTTGTTTTGTGAGTTACAAAAGTTCTGCTGCCTAACAACAACAATGGAATATCTAAGCCTGCCTGCCTGTGAGACCAACATACAACATAGCAATTTCTTTTATTGTTCTTTCTAAACACTTAAAATTGGACTTAGCTCAGAACATCCCTTCCACCATCCCTTATTTATTTACAGTTACAGTTCCTCCATTACAAATTTGCATGAAGCAGACTGTTATTTTGACATGAGTAAAATTCAAAAGCTTTCTAAGCAAGAAATAATGAATAATGGTTCTTTTAGAAATCTTGATATGGCACAATAAAATTAAAACTAACCTACTGCTAACATAATTTCTGAACTTGTAACCATGTTACAAGTTCAGAAATTATGTTTGTAAAAGAAAGGTACACTGTCCTACATATAATAGGTTCCCTGAGTATCTACAATGGGAAAGAACTAAAATTGACTGTCCTGCCACCTTGACAAAATTTTATTGTAGGGTTAGTTAAAAAGCCCTTAAAAATATGTCACTTGATCAAACTCTAATTCAGTTAATATTATTACCTGTCAGCACTTAATTTTGGCAATGCCTTCTGTATGCTGCTACCAGCCCAGCACACATCTTTAATTGTGAATATACCATCTTCATCTTCCGAGCCTATGACATGTAATTTGAGACTGTTAACTATATTATAGACTATCCCTTAGTACTAATTCTGGTTAAAAATTATATAGAACTTAGAATTGCACCAAATGATACCTTATACAAATTCTATCTCAGTTTTTAAACAATCAATTTGATAGCCACACTTTTTATAACTTGTTTCATTAACAGATTTGAAGTTTTTTAGTGACCTCACTGTACTTAATGATGCTTTCGGTACCGACCATAGAGCAACACAGGCCACTGGGAGACCGGAGTTGTTCTAATGCGTTGCTCTATGGCATCATGGCATTATGCTTATTTGTGCAAACTTTGCAAATCTGAAATATTTGCATATAGCTTTGAAGGATAAATAAGTTTATATTACAAATAGATCTTATAAAAAAACTTTTACATTTTCCATAGTTAGAGTAAAGCTAGATGGTACAGGTATTTTATATGTATATATTAACCTAACAATCCGCAGACAACACCAGTCACAACTTGATGAATATCAATGGATTCACCAACTAATTTGATTCTTTGAAGTTCATCCTCCAACACCAAACTATCAGAGTCATGTACAAAATGTGTTCTGAAACATCAATAGGTAACATAACTTTAAAAAGTATTTCAAAATCACTGTAATATAGGTCAAACAGACTCAGCTGGAGCTAATGTTCTAGTGTGTATGTAAAAGAGCAATATGTCTGGTCACATACTATTTCATATCATTTAAGCTTATTCTGGCTTACACTAGCATACATAGACATATATACATAGCATAGCACTACACACTGCTTATTAAATACTGATTTTACATAGGTATCAACTTCCCATTTTACTAAACTATGCATCATTTAGTTCGCAAGGGGTCATTATTAATATTATAATTAGTGAATAGATGAATTTGAAGATTACAATGTTACACAGATCCATTTACTATTTTAAGGGCCTCTCATCCTTATAACAAAAATTGTGTTAACCACTATAAATGAGAATTGGAACAAACAACGTAACTCTTTAAAAGATCTGAAATATTTTTTATGAGACTTACCTGGGAGCTTGAGGAATTATTTCCAATTGATCTGATAACTCTTTAAGTATACTAGGTTTCAGTTTTTGAAGTTTAAAGAGAGTGCCAATAATAACGCAAGTCGTACCTTTCTCGCGAAGTTCACACAATTTCAAAATCTTATAACGATCAGACCACTTTTTCTTAATTATTGGACCCAAAATATTTCTATAGGTATTAAGTCTAGCTGAATATATGTGAGCGTATTGTTTAGAGAAATCGCGTGAAACCTCATAAAATCTTTTAGAAGAATCTGTGTATGGTACGTTTTGCCTCTCAACCTCACGAATCGCAAAAGCATTTTCTGCAGTATTTGAATTAACTTTAAACAGCATTTTTCCTTAGATTTAGTGCCTATTCTTCAGTTTTCTTTTTTTGGCGGTTTTGGGTTAACCGTAATTTCCGTACCGTACTTACACAAAAATACAGATTATAATATTATTTACCATAGATAGATATTATATGCTTTTGTCTAAGGTTTTAGTACCTTGTTGTAGGTACCCTACATTGTTTTTATTTTTAAATCCACAACTAAAAAAGAAAATTTAGGGTGGGAAAAAGAAAATGTTAAATGTGGACAGGATCAAGGACAAATACATTCAACCCACGTAAATCTGTAACACTGTATGAGTTACAGATTTTACATTACTTTTTGTAAAAAGCTATGGTAAGGATCGAAATCGTTTTCGTATTTTTTAAATTTAAATCTTTGCTTGCTCGCCCCATATAAGAATTCATTCTGTAATATCAAAATAATTTGGGGGAATGAAAGTAGAAGTTTTATGTTTTTTTTAAGGGTGTGAAATATTAATAAGTATTAACATAAGTATAAACAACACTTTTATAGATGGGTTAAATGGGTTTAAAGCAGGGTTTTTGGACAGAAACGGGTTTAAACCCAAATGAAACGGTCGGAACGAAATTTTTTTTTTAGGCACTGGACGTTATTTAAGGGCCCCATTTTTGCAAAAAAAAATGTTAGGTCAAATTTTCAAAATAAAATATTTCATCCCGAAGAAAATATTTAGCAGCGTGGTCACTAAATTAGACTTACAAAATAGTCACATGCTAGTTACGTAAACAGTGAGAGAAAGAATGCATCGGGGGACGTAGTGTGGCGGTTAAAGGCGTCTGCAAAACCCGGCTGTTCATACAATTAAATAATTAATATGTCAGTCGGCCACGTCTTGTCCCGTCGGTCTTTCCTTTGTGTTTACCGCTCGTTCTTCTGTGACGTCAACAGTGCAAACAATGTCTTCTAATCGTTGATGATGATGCGTTGTTACATTCGTAGTGGTGAAAGCCTAAATCTTGCACAGCGCTTCTATGAGTCGGAAAGTATACCACGACTCCGAAGACAAGGTTTAGAACCCCGTCACACTAAACTTGCAATATAGGTCGAAGAACAAATCTTTGACTTCTTTGAACGGGATCCTGGAGTAAGCACACGGGCCCGCAGCGCAACGTAAGCGAAGTAAAGAAACAAACGCCTTACCTCGTCGACAATTCTGCGAGTGGCTTATCGCACACCCCGGTGCCAATATTTTGTAAACTGACAGGCCTTATTTAGTTGTGTGGGTTTGTACAACCAACATAACGAACATTGGTGGTCATATCACAACCCACACGTCGTTAGACAAGATCTAGACTACATTTTGAATCTAGATATCTAAAAGACTACATTTTGAACATTTATTAAAGTACGTGTAAAACAGTACTGGTAAGTTAACCTCTAATTGCTTTTTTTTTACTAATTTATTGTACATACCTATCCATATTGTCGATACCTAGTTTTAGTATTTTGATGTTATTTTATGTAATTTATTTATCAATGAAATATAGCGAAGTATGCGGTACCGATGGAGAGGTCTTTGAGATTTGCCTCGCCTATGGGTGCCTCATGCGGGTTTCTCATAAATTTTACTAAATACTTTTAATATGGACGGCAACTACAATTTCACGGTGTATAGGTTGCGGCGATGTATATAGTTCATACAAGGCCAGAGGTGGATTAAGTATCAAGAGCGACCCAGGCAAGCATCACAACAGCAAACCCCCCCCCCCCCCCTCCCCCTCGCGGCTCAGCCTTACTATATTATTATTAATAGCTGCTAGTCTAGTTGACGTTACTAAATGTGTGATAGTGATTACTCCAAATTTTAGTTGTCATTTCTTTACCAGAACTTTAATTTTTTTACATGTGGAAACCCTCTTGGGCTGTCATCCGGTGAGGCGGTGTATCGGAATCCAACGGACTAAAACTACATACTGCGCCTGAAATAGGAGGGATCCGGTAATAGCTTTTATTAAGACGGCCGGGCCTTTCTTTCTTTCAGGTCTGCACCTATGCAGGATGAGCCGCCTCGGTACCTGGCCAGTTCCCGGGCCTGGTGGACCGGGAAAGTGGTGACAAATTCACTCCTCGCGATCTACTGCCTACCTAAGCAGATATGTCCAGAAAAGACCTCGAAAATCGGAAGGAAACGGTCTCACGCTTCCACCCTGGCCACTAGACGATGACCGGCTGAAGTGCCTCCACGGCACCAATGCCATTAAGTGGAGCCTCCAAGCGGCAAGCGGCCCTTTAGCCATTCATTTCCGAATCAAAATAAACAAAGTGTAGTTCAATCAAAGAAAGAGAAAAGACACAGTGAATTATAAAAAATATACCTCCCTAACTGCCTCAGCCAGCATCAGAATCCTAGGCATCGACATATCGAGCGAAGTCCAGTTTCGGGGTTACTTAGAGGGTAAGGTCAAATTGGCCTCGAAGAAGCTCGGTGTGCTGAACAGGTCGAGGCAGTATTTCACTCCGGCCCACCGCCTTCAGCTCTATAAGGCGCAAGTCCGGCCGCATATGGAATACTGTTTTCATCTCTATGCAGGGGCACCTCAGTACCAGCTTCTCCCTTTGGACCGCATCCAACAAAGAGCGACTCGATTTGTCGATAGCCAAAAGATTTGTCACCGGCGCGATTTGTTGGCGTTACGTAGAGATGTAGCTTCACTATGCATTCTCTATCGCATATATCATGGAGAGTGCTCCGAGGAATTGTTCGGACTAATACCAGCCGCAAATTTCCGCCATCGTTCCACACCTCAAAATTTTCATCCTTATTACCTGGATAGTTGGCGCTCCACTGTGCGCTTTTCGAGACAATTTTTGCCGCGCACAACCAATTTATGGAACGGGTTATCGTCTGCGGTATTTCCGGACCGATACGACCTTCAAACCTTCAAGAAAAGAGCGTACTCCTTCCTAAAGTTGCAGACGTTCATGGGCGGCGATGGTCACTTTTCATCAGGTGACCTGTCTGCTCGTCTGCCCGCTCTAACATAAAAAAAATATTTATTTTATAAGTCTGTCAACTTATTTTATATATACCGCTATCATATTAAATTATATTACTGTACATTATAAATGGTAAGTAATTTTATTGTTTCGCGTGAGGACTCGTTACTTTTGATCCTTTGATAGTTTTGATTGGTGTGCCATTCGAATGTCTCTGTATTTATCTAAAGTCTTAAAAACCTAAGATTTATCTAAAATTTATCTTAATCTTGTATTTAACTATAATAAAACAGCATCTAAATTACATACACTTGTAGAATAGCTATATATATGTTTAATTTTTCGTTTTGAATTTACAGCTTTTGATTAAAAAGAGTTTACAATTTGGCAAATAAACGTTACAACTCAGTATAGGAATACTGAGTTGATTGAGGGGTCAATAAGGATATTAACCCCTCATATTCCCTAGCAAAGCACAAAGCTCGACTAGAAAGAGACAGAGGAAACTATCTAGCATCTATCTCTCTCGTTGTCTTTATTGCCAGATTGGGGCTCTTGTTTCCTTTATGCTTGTATCTCTGGTTGGTGGATGGTGACTAAGAGGTATGTGTAATAACACTATGGACAATTTAAATGTATAAGTAAAAATGGCGGGAGTTCAAAAAGTTAAACTAGATAATTTGAATATTAACATTAAAAACGCTTTGATCGTTGGAATTATAATAGCAAAAAATAGTCCACGCATAGTAGGATCTAAAAAGAAAAACGGTGATTCACGAGGAGTTACATCTTTTACTATAAGGGATTCTGAAATAGACACTATTAATATTGATGTTTGGGGATCAGAATATTTTGTTTTAACTTTTTATGAAAGGTTTTTAGTGGGCGACGTCGGTAAATATAATACTATAAAATATAATATTTTTATGACCTACTTCACAGATTTGATCTCCCATATTTTGTATTTGTGAAAGTTTATAATTAGTTAAAGTGATGTTTTTTTATTCTCCAGTTGATATTATATCGCCAAAAATATGTGTCAAAAGTGGAGATAACGAAAACTACAGACCACAGGTAGATTTAAAAACGGTTATTTCTTTTTACATCATCCTTAAATCGATTTAAACAGTTTGTTTCCCGTCGTTTTAGGTTACTTCGCCTTTTTATTTGTCTTTGAACGAAGGAATTTCCGATGTAACCACTCACAGTGGAGACACCTTTAGCGCTTACTTGCCGCTAATTCATATACCTACTAAGCAATCATCTGGATATTATGGACTTGCCGAAGTTTTGAAATTGCCGGGTCTGTTTTTAAGTTGTATTATATTCAGTCATTTGCGTATTTGTAAGATTGTAACTTTTGGTTTGTAACTGTAAAGTTACAAACCAAAAGTTACGATAATGTTTTACACATTACGATTACGATAATGTTTTACATTATCGTAAAGTTACAAACCAAAAGAAAACCAAATTAACACGCCCCCAGAAACAATGGAATTTGTATTCTTTCCTATTTAGAGGCGGCGTTAGTGTTTTATTAAGTATATTAATATTATCTAATTAATATTTTAATAATTATCAGTCGAATGTGTGCAAGCAAATTTATATTACATGGCTCCATATTTTTTCAGAAGAAAATAATAACGTTTATGTCGATTTGCTAGTAGTTGTGAAGTCGGTGAAGCCTCCAAAAACAATAAAAACTAAAACAGGTACGTATCTACGTAAGTATTGGGTTTTTTACAGAAAAACAGTAACTAATTTTATGAGTTGTTAACGTGCATTAAGTACCTAAATACTTTAACAGATATAATATACGAATTACAAATATGAATTCTTTTATAAGTAATTCTTTGATTTCAGGCCTCCACATGTCAGTTCGCGGTGTAGAGATCGTGGACAACACCACACCCGCTTCAGTAACCTTGGATATTTTTGACAACGATACAATTCAAAGGTCATTTTTTTTAATGGTTTAGGTTTATCTTTATTTCTGTGGACCTACATAATATTTTAAAATATCTTTGTAGCAAGAGTAGCAAAAGCTACGGGTCCCGCGCACCAAAGCTTTCTGTAAACCGTAGCGTACCGGACCGTAAAAAGGGTCTGCTTATTTCGATCGAAGTGTGAAAATATTTGACAAAAGAGTTACAGTCGAAAGGAAACGGTAACGTGCTGCCGCCTTGTCTACTCGACGATGACAACAGCGGCAAAGCCAGCACGTGGAGCTTTCAGCCGGGAAGATCATCGATCGATCGGGCCGATGCGGCGTTTGTCAACGGCTCTGACCGCCCTATTCTGGAGGGTCAGAGCCGCCACACTGCTACACCATAGAGATAAGAGAGCTCTTATCCAAGACCACCCATAAGCCAGCGCCTCAATGCGCCTGACCACCAAAGAGATCCCCTGGTGGCCAGGCGCACAGCCTTTTGAAAATTCGGCTCACAGGCTGTAATCAATGCCGTCGACGTAACAGATGACGTCAAGTCCGGGGGGGGGGGGGGGGATTTAAAGCTCTATGGAACACCGCACGCCATGGTAGGCCAATGTCTCAAACTTTAAACAAATCCTGTAGGGTTAGTTTCTTGAAACTTGTGTGTGTGGGACTGGTTTAACCAACAGCAGGCAAGAACCTCCTTTATGAGGAGAGAGCTATGTCCAGCAGTGGACTATTATAGGCTGTTGATTGATTGATATTGATATAGAATTGTTTTAGGTTATCTAGTTTATGATATTCATCATCATGATGATGATGAATACCATAAACTATATAACCTAAAACAATTCAAGGGCCCTTTGATAGAATTTGCTACAGGCTCCGCTGGACCAATCAGGCACTGCCTGGCACACTGTTATTGCCGCGGTAAGACCCGTTGTGAAGGATTGGCTCGAAACACAACGTAATATAATTGAAACACTTGATGATGAACACACAAAAAAAGTAATATGATTTGAAAGAACTTGATCAGAAATGAAATCCATAACCATTCCACCGGTCGCCTGGAAGAGGGGTTTCCGAAGGGCAATTTCGGAACGGAAAAAAGAACTTCTTCATCGGCATTGCACACGGGCGCTCAAACAGCTAGCGGCGACCCTGGTGTGCGGCAAAGGTCGCCATATCAAGTATCCGTAGCCTTGGCATAAGCACTCCTTCAGCAATCCGTGAATAAATACCACCTGGTTTAAGTCATTAAGGCTTACGGTTGGGTTTTACGGGTTCCTTCGTTTGTATATACGTTTTTTATAATCTTATAATAAAAGAGCTTAATAAGAAATGGTATAATCTGTAGGGCCGAAGAATGGCGTTCGTTAGAGAGCGTACTCTTCATAGCGGACGCTAGAGTATCGTGGCGCACCCGAGCCGTGACCGTGCAGAGTTGTGCGCGAACTGTAATCACTCATCAGCCACACACTGCAGATGCTGAAGCACTCAGGCTCTACATACGTAACCAGGCGAGTGCGCGTGAGTATAAATGATTAATTTTATGTATATTATGATCATGGTCTGAAATGGGACTTTTACATAGTTGCAAGTCGAAAACTTAAGTTAAAAAGCATAGGCAAACCAATCTAAGATATTTCGCATTCCTTCTTCTTTCATTAAATCTATAGCACATGACCTTCAAGCTCTGAAGGTCATGTGCTATAGAGGATTTAAAGGTATCGGTCAATTTATTAGGTCAATATACATCCAATAGGAAGTTCTTTATTTATTTAGAAAGAAAAAACTTTGAAGATAATTCATAATAATTATTTTACGATTTGATATACATACTCGTATGTATATGTACCTACATTAAAATAATAATGCTCTAAAATAAAACTAAAAAATAATTTTGAAACGAAATGAAGGGCTGCGTGAAAGAGGATATGGCTAGAAGGGGAGTAAACGGGTGTATCTACTGAGTGATAGAGGAGAATGGAAGAAGAAAACTCATTACTCCGACCTCAAGTAAATTTGGCAAAAGCGTAAGAAGGTGATGCTTGCTTTCATAAAGTATTTCTGACCGATTTTTTACATGCTTTTCATACATAAGACTAGAGTTCCTGGACTCTTTCAATGACTTCGCCAATCCAGGAGTGATTATAATCAAATGGCTGCTCACTTCTGAATGGGGGATGACCATAAAAAAGGCGGTAAAGATTGTCGGTATGTAAGGTGGTGGTGAAGCGGCGGCGTGGGCGGCGTGGAGCGGAGAGCGCGCGAGCGCCGCGAGCGTGGCGCAGGTGCGCGACAGGGCCGCCGGCGCCACGCCCTTCTGCGCCTCCCTGCACGTTCTCGTCACACACATCGACTTGGATGCACTCGATACCACGTATTGCTTCCTTTTACTGTTACTCATTAGAATGATACCACGCCGTCTAAGCATTTCTGCTACTCTGCTTTTCACCGAGTGAGTGTTATTAGCGGAGCCCAACCTCCCCCCTTGATTCTGGGGGAGGACTCAAAAGGTAGCAACGCACTTATGAGTCTTGAGTTACAAGTGTCCAGGGGTGGCGTACTTACCTTAAAAAAGAAGTGGCACTACGGCAGTACACACACAGTTTTTTGGTTTTTTCGATTCGAAAAGTTCCGACATGAATATTTATCTATGTTTTACGTATATACACAATGTATGTTTATATCATATATAGTTATGTTATCAATGTATTTCAACCCAAACTCCACTCTTGTGTAAACGGGTCCAACATACATATATGTAGATACTGCCAAACGCGACTAAAGTTTACACTTCAAAAAAATATGTATGGCCCGATAACCAGTCGCAACCGACAGTAAACCATTGGGTGTAAAACGTCCCTTCATATCTCGAATATCAAATATTCTTCCTATACGTACCTATCTAATGCCAGTGACTCAGTACTTTCAAATAATAAGCTCAACAAATTAGTCTCTGATCTTGAATAATATAATTAGCTAAAATCGTAATTGCCATTTGAAATGTTTTATATTTCACTCACGGCGGGCTGATCCCAAACTAGGCAGAGCCTGTACTATGGTAACCAGACTGCTGATAAACATACTTATATATTTCTAAATACATACATATTATAGATAAAGTACACTCAGACACAGAACAAAAGACCGTGCTCATCACACAATTATTCGATCTGGGAGGGAATCGAACCCACGACCACTAGCGTAGCAGCCAGGGTCACTAACCACTAGACCAACAGGCCCGTCGAATACCTTCAGTGAACCTCAGAAGCCAACGTATAATAGACAATAGGAGTTCTGACTAACACAAATAAACAAGTCAACGTTGATTATACTTAGTGATTTCAACAGAGACAACAATATTGAAGACATTCGTATTCGATGTGCTGACCACACGGGAGAGTTGACTGCTCGACTTCCCGTCAATGTTTTAGAAGATACCTTTGGACACTCTGTAAGTCTTACACTATTTACAAAAATAAATTATAAAATTGAAACTAGACATAACTGAAACTATTATTTTTCTTACAGTTGGAAAGGTTAAAATCAATGTCCAACGATGAAAGAGCTGCACTCGGTTGGAACTTCCTTCTCGAACAGTGTTATGTGAAGCTAGCTATTTCACCCCCACGTCTTTTAGTGTTGGCTATGAGAAGAGCTACTCAAGCAGACCCCATACCTTTATATTAAACTTTCTAATGATTAAATGTCTTAACACTACTACACGTTCATAAATAAATTATTTACTTCATAAAACAAAACTAGTATCGTTTCCATGTAATGACTTTTGATGAAGTACCGTACAACAATTGTTTTTATATAGGTACTACCAACTTCTTTATAAAATCGTAAGTTTTATTTGGTACTTACTCCTATAACTACTTAGATAACAAAAACTGTTCATGTTAGTCAAACGCAAAAAAGATCAGATAAAAATAATTCTACGTCATAGCTGTAAGTATAATAGTTGAATGTTCTGTGTTTATACATCATCTTGTTCTGCTATATAAAAGTCGCTTCTTCTTTTTAGCTTTTTCAAAAGATAAGAGTACTTAGCAGAACAATAGCTAGAGGCCTAATGACAAGAGAAGTGTGGCCGACTTCAGATATTTTTTACTTTGTTTTCCGCGTGTCCCTTTATTTAGTTCCAAATCTTTCTTTTTTTATTTTAGTAGATACTATAATTATCAGATTTGCCAACTCAGTAGGTATACAAGCAACATCGAGATTACATTAAAAGATTCTTTAATAACGATTATTAAAAGTAAAGTCGATTGAGATACCTAATGTGCAAACTTACATTCAACCATCTACCTACCGGTTATTACATAAATGCATTACTGAAATTAAATGCATACTGGCTCGATTAAAGTAGAATTTCATTAGCGAGTAGATAACTGCCATTTTAATATTTATTCTCTCGTATTCTGACCACTATTTTTTCCGTAACTTCTTCGCTATGCCGGTAACCTTGTAAAATATTGATCAAGCAGCGTCCATACTTACTGTTTGTATCTGAATGTACTCGTAATGGAAAAGCCAGAAAAAACTGAACTTACTTATGAATACACAAAACGCAGAAAGGATTTTGGGAGACAAACTTTATTCGAAGACCATGGACCAGAAATGTTATGCAGCATACCAAATAATCCCTCGTATTATAAAGATTATATTCTACGGAATCCGGTACATGTAGGGGTCCAAAATATACCTTCAATGTCTGAACATTGGGTAAACTCTGTAAGGTAAGTAAATACGAAAAAATAAACTCCTTCCTTTTGATTTTACAATATTTTAGTTAACGCATTTTATTGTACGTACCTAGATACTTAAAGTAACCATCTCAAAGCAAATACATAATAGTTATCAAAACTAATAAAACGAATTTGTAATAAAATAAAAATTATGTTTATAATTTGCTGTGGGTTTCTAATACAGAGCTGAGTATACAAGTTCCGGTGTCAATCATGTTGAAGGTGGATGGCCTAAAGACATCAACATGAATGATCCTGAGGCAACGCAAAGATATCGACGAAAAATTGAAAAGGATGACGCTTATATTCACGCCGTCATGCACTTAGGGCATGTAAGCTTTTAATGCATAAAATGATTAAAAATAATAACGGTCTGTTACCCTTTAAATCGTTTAAATCAAAATTTTATCCTTCAACAGAGCATGGAACATTATATACTACAAAATAATGCAATAGATATGTACGAGTGTTATCACTCAGATTTGCCTTCAATACCACCAGTAGAAAATAGTAGCTGTCACACGGTAAATGTATACAGAGAGCCTGGAGCAAGAAGACCAGTGAGGTCATTGTCATGGCAAGCAGATGGAGGAGCAAGATTTGCAGTAGCGCATGCCGATATAGAACTAATAAGAAGCTCAAGAAATCCTCAGTATTCTTATATCTGGGATATAGGTAACTCCGGCCAACCTTAGTTTTGTTAAATATTTAATTTGGTTTTCTTTGACAAAGGTTTATAAAAAATGGTCTCGGTTGTTACCCAGTGCTAAAATTATAATTAAAATCCCTCGATATCATTTATGTTTTTCCAGAAAACGCTAATGCTCCGGAGCTAACTGTGAAGCCTCCACAGCCGTTGCTAGACTTTCAATACAATCCTCGTGATCGTGATATTTTAGTAGGAGGAATGGTTAACGGGCAGGTAATACACGATGTTATGTTTCTACACTCGTTCTTAGTCGAAAATATTTAAGTAAGAAACTGACTGAACTCCTATCCCATGATCCTTTTTCAAAACGATCAGATATAAGGGAATGAAAACCTAATGAAAGATTATATTGGTCATCAACTCATCAGTTTCGTTTTCAAATATTTCGATCGTCATCTCAGACGACTAAAGATAACAAGCCTCCCTACATACATCTGCCAGTTGGTATAGAAAGTACTTTACTTGTACAGGTTGGCTGGTGGGATACGCGCAAAGGAGGAGAACCTGCAGGTGTGTGTCCACCTCATGTAGCACATCGGGACCTCGTACGGAATGTTCTTTTTATAAACTCTAAAATAGGAGCAGAATTCTTCTCTTCATCTCCAGATGGTGTCGTAAAGTGGTGAGCAATTCGTAAAGAAAATCTACTTTACTCACTTACTCGTGCTAATTTAAATCGAACGTGACATTTTTCTTTCTTAGGTGGGATACTCGAAATATGAGTGAACCTACGGACTCCATGATAATCGATATCGTGAAAAGTGCAACAGATACTCAAAACATTGACAACGCCATTGGAATTTCGGCTCTTGAGTACGAGCCTACAATACCAACGAGGTACAACAACTTTACCATATAATTAAATAGATGGTGTAACACACACTAACTGCAGTAACAGTAACTGGTGTAACAGATTTCCATTGTACTCAACTTGGACTTTTTTAGGTTCATGGTGGGAACAGAGACTGGGTTAATTATTGGAGGTAATCGTAAAGGTAAAAATGCATTGGAAAAGCTACCAACAAAGGTGAGTTTCGCATAAACCTGTTATTAACAATTATTCGGTCATCAACACGCTATAAATTGTGTAATGAGTTTTACAGTATAGTACCCATATTTTCTCGATAGCATGTCTTTTAACCTCTTTAATTAACCAACATTATTGTTGTTTCTTTTTCAGTATGAAGCGCACTTTGGACCAGTATATGCACTTCAAAGGAACCCAACATTCGTTAAGAATTTCTTAACAGTAGGAGATTGGACAGCTAGAGTTTGGAGCGAGGACTGTAGAGAATCGTCTATTTTATGGACATATTCTCACCGTACTAAACTTACTGACGGAGCGTGGAATCCCATTAGGTAAAATACGTTTCATTAGGCATGGTAGGGTCAATTAACTCTCTTCGACCAAAGCAGCCTAGTAATGTGGGGAAAAGCTACAGAAAAGGCTTGTACGATGTGCAGTGCAGTAATAGGAACAGCCAGGCGCTTACTGACAGGTTGTAAGGTGCTACTAGAACGGGTCATTATTATTGACGTTGCCATGATAGAGTATTACAAATCATACGCGAAGCTTTAATTTTATTACTGGCGAGAGCGAATAAAGGAATAACAACAAACATAACAACTAATATCGAGTTTGTAAAGGAAAGCTCAACAAAAGACTTCACAAAAGCCGTACTCAATTATAAATAACGCGAGTGACTGGACATTATTAGTGAACACGTATGAAAATCATTATATCATTATGATTATAGAATACCGACGGATATCTGTGCCTCGGCGTCCAGACCGGACATATTTCTTTATGCAATCTCAATTAAACGTGTAATACTAGTGGAACCACGGAGCAAATACAAAGAGGAGAGAAAGCAACTGTGCACTGTGATTTTAAGTAGGTCCTGACGTCATCACAGTGGGCTTGGCTTAAAATTAGTACTCACCGTCCGTAGTACTGTGCGCTTGTGTCACAAAATCTCAAATCGTATTTACGTGGTTTTAAGAAGAAAAGGATGATATTTTGTATTTTATCGTGTTAAAATAACTCGGATAAACGTTTTGTTGCTATGGATTGCATCGCATTTCATTTGTAAGTAATTTTGTACTTCATTTAAAATAGTTTTGGAAAGATCTCTTAGTGCTTTTTAAAGTATAGTTACTTCTATTCGTTATAGAAGTAACTAGCTAGCTAGCTAACTAAACTTTGTGTAGTTTAAACTTAAAATACAAGGGTACTTAAATCTTAGTTTTAGTCAGATAATACTGAAATTAGTTTTGCATTCAGTCCTAAGGAATTTTAAATCGCAAAAACAATTTATTTAAACTTTTAGTAATAATTTTGTGAACAGACTGTCATCTATCGTCAACTAGAAAAACACATAACCTGAATAAAAAGACATGGCCGAAATTTGGAATACAATGTTAAGGAAATAAAGTACTTTTAATATGAAAATGAAGGAAATTGAACTTAGTTTAATTTTTACGACACAGGTGATCTCCGAAACAACCTTTCCCGGTGATCACCTGCCTATGAGAGGGTTCCGTGACGCCTCTCGAGCCAATCTTCCATCGTACGTCGGGTTCGAGGTACGTCGGGGTACCAGGGATTTCCTTTCTGGGGTACACCTGGTTCCCCGGCTATTGGTACCCGAGACGGCGTGCGGTTTTTAGTCGGTTCTAGTCGGACATAGCCACCGGTAGGTGGTATCCGAGGGGATTTCCGCACAGAAAATAAAGGTTAATTTTTACGAAATTTTCAAATTATAAGTGACATACTAATTGCAAAAAAAAAAGGCAAGTGGGTTATTTGCTCCGTGAGTAGAAATCATCGTGCCGTAGGAAACGAACAACTCTAAAGACCACGCTTTAAAAAGAAAAAAATACTGTCTTAACCAACGAAATAACTAAAAATAGTTATTTAGTTGCGTTGTATGCCGCGGAAGTGGGTGCGAGGGGTATACCAGTTTAATCCCTACACTAACCTGCTTAAAGACCACGGATTGCTAACAGCATCATAAGCTCTTTTCTTGAACAAATATCCAAATAGGCTCGTATCAAATATGGTTAGGTAGAGGGGGTAACACGGCAGACAGTGGGTACTCCCTAAATCGGACCCGGCACCCGCACGGTGAATCTATGGAACGCTAAGAAATAGGTCTCGTAATTATCAGTATTTTTTAAATGTTCTATTTGTTGTTCTATTTTTTAAATGTTCTAGTTGTTATGCAGATTCTCTTTAATGCTGGTGACGCAGTGGGATGGTTGCCTATCCTGTTGGGATTTGTTACGAAGAAGAAGTGCACCAATTGTTACAGCCCAAGTTTGCGACGAACCTTTGCTTCGACTTCGTCCACATGAAGGAGTCAGTAATTCTTCGAAATTAGTGTATCTGACTGAATTGCAATAATTTAAAAATTGTAATGATATTTTTCAGGGTTTATTAGTAGCATGTGGAAGCAGTAAAGGAACTATATATTTAGCTGAACTATCACAAAATCTTGGTACTGCTGACAAAAATGACAAACTACTTCTGACTCATGTAAGCGCGATTTTATAAACAACCTCTTCAAACTTTAGAATAAATGAAATTATAATGGCACGATTATAGTTATATATATATATAAAGAGTTGAAATACTGAAAAGCAGTACCTAATTCAGTACAGTATCGTAATATTTCCTTTCGGTTTAGGTTCTGGACCGTGAAAATAAACGAGAGCGAATCTTGGAAGCTCGCGCCCGAGAATTGCGCCTCAAACTGCGACAAGACCACGCCGGCGGAGCCCAACAGACCGCAGACGCTGACCTTCCTGCCAACGACAGGGATTTAGAAGAAGCAACCGCAGAATATCTGCATACTATTAATGAACTGCAAGCACAACAAAAGGATATCTAGACACATCATTTACATATATTTAGTAGATGACAATTAACGGGCAATTAATTTAATACCATTGTATGTATATTAGTTGTTTTTAGAGCTTGTACAAATGTAGCCTGTTTCATTGCACATTTTGTTGATTTGGTAAACAGGAGCATCAGAAATCTTTTTTTTTGTGATATTCTATACACGGTGATTTTGAAAGCGTTTTGGAAAAGAAAATTTTGAGTTATTTATCAGTAACAGAAGCTATATATAACGTTAATTTAATAAAATATATATTTTTTTTATCATCAAAGTCGATATTCATATCGTTTACAGAGAAAAAGTGAGAACCAGTAGTAGTAGGCTATTCAATCACACGTAGGTAAATACTACGAATAGAAATACTATGCGTTTTAATATCGAGTCACATAAAGGTCGCGCGCTCACGCGCAAGGTCAAGGACGTTTAAATTATTATTCGCCGGAGTATAGTGCGTGCATACCTGGACAATGAGTTTAGTGATCGGTGGATAGGTCGAGGAGGGCCAGTGCCTTGGCCACCTAGAAGCCCGGAATTAACGCCCCTGGATTTTTTCTTATGGTCGGAAATAAAAATATTTGTTTATACATGGGAATATGAAAGCCGTGATAATTTACGCATTGCGATAGTGGACGCTTTTGATAAAGTGAAAAGTGATAGAGACACATTAAGAAAATTAAAAAACAATTGCATTAAACGTGGACGTTTGTGTATTGAATGCAGCGGACTCCATTTTGAGCAGTTGCTTCGATACAGAGAAGTGTAAATAGTGTAAATAGGTATGTAAGTTAATTATTCTGTAGATAGCTTCGATTTTTTAAATACGCTTGAAATATTAATACCTACAGTCCGTTGATAAATTGATTTGTTGTGAAAAGAACAATCGTGGTTAATAATCGAAAAGAAGTTTAAATAAAATAGGTATTTCTGACGATCCTAAGCCCGTGTAAAGTATGAAGGACAAATTGGAGTCTATCTACGTAAGTACTCGCTAGCTCGCGCCTATAGGTATACTTTTATCAGCTGCTGTTAGCGTCAGCGGTGCGCAGCGGCCGCCGAAACGCCCACGGACGTGTTTCATTCATATAAGATAATGAATGAATGATCAGTCCATTACTATTTTCCAAGTCGATCGAGTAAAAATGAATATTAAAACTGAAACTTTTTTTAGACAACATTACAATTGATTTAATCATTTTTATTGGTACTATAGATGATTCCAAATTAAAATGTTTCGTTTCCAAAACGCCTAAAAAATCACCGTGTATGTGTTACAATAAGTGTGTAATACAGATGTCAAACATTGTATATATCAATAAAATGAATAACAAATTTTAATTCTATGTGAGGTCGTTTTAATATTACAATTTTCTTGTGGCCACTTTCAACATTAAACAGCTTGATTTGGATGGTAAATAATGAAATGGATTTTTTAGTACAAGTACCGTACGTTTGGATCAGTAATAGTTGAAATTCGAATTTATTGAATTATTGCGTGTTAACATAAAAATATTACTACAACGCCTGCACCTTTTTTTTTCGCCCCATCTCCCCGTGCCAGGGACCACATGCCAGTAACATAATATTGCGAGTACCGCCTTCCGCGTACAACTGTTGGTCGTCGCATCGGACGCCGTGGTTTGGTCTTTGGGAGGCACAACGCCTGCACCTAACTGTAGGTATTAAAAAAATTAGGCGCTGTATCCTGATCACTAGAAATTAAATATCACACAATATGATTACATCGATGATTTATTATATAACACCACGATTTATGGAATTCTAGGAATTACATAATCACCAATAATGAAAGTTTAGATATACTGGAAGAACAGGTTAGCCACCATATATTTTATCCGTAAAGTATATTATACGTTTCCGTTTTTAGTTTGATGGCCTTACGTAAAAATGAATTTTAACTAAACTTACAGTTCACTTACTTTACGTCTGTTTAACATAAACTGAAAGTAAGTAATACTTACTTGCAAAGATAATAAATAAAATGAAACCATATCGGCAAAACGGAGCTTGTGGAGCGCGGTGGGTAAGTCAAACCTCACAATCGCTTTGGAAAACTTTGGAATTAAGGTGGAGAGATTTACTTTTGAGAATATCGTTTTGTATAAAACTTAATAATAATAACTAATTAACTATACTCAACTTGTATACCGGTAATTTTTTTACAATAGTTACATTATTGCTCATTGTTTAATGACATATTCACATCATAGTATTGATATGCAGACGGATGCTTAGGTATCTCAAGTTTATAGTCTCTATTTGCTAATCTCTTCTTTGTTGAAAGCTATAAACGACCACCGATGTTCAATGTTGGCGCCAACGCCTGTTGTACTGCGACTAAATACATCTTGGTGCCTTTGGAGTACGTGATGTACAGTTGCTTGTGAGACGTTGGGAAAGAGAGCTCGTACGTACGACACTACGTAGTCCAGGCTAGCTCCTTGTGGATGAACCTAAACACAAGAAAGAATTGTCATTAATGCATACAATAATTTAAATTTTTATTTCAAATAGTAAATATAAAAGTCGTAGTGTAGTAAAAAATGATCAAGGTCTTCCTCCGACCCTTTCCCCAAACTAGGTTGTTGTCGGCTTTAAGTCTACTACCATACAACTGAACTTTGATTTTATACGCGGAACGGCCATTTATAGGCTATATTGAAGTTCAGAAAGACTGTTGTCGGACTTTTTATAGTTCCAACTACCCGTAACAATTGCCACAGATGCTCGTATGGCAACCGGGACCGACGGCTTAACGTGCTCGCCGAGGCACGGGGTGTTTCAATGTGTTAAGAATGGTCACCCATCCATAGACCGACCTGGCTTGGATTGCTTAACTTTGCAATGTTTTAACCTACTCGGTTACCACCACGGAGCAAATATAAAGAGGAGAGGGCCTAAGCCCTAAACAACTGTGCACTATGATTTTTACTAGGTCCTGATGTAACCACAGTGGGCGTGGCTTAAAATTAGTACACTCACGTACGTCCGTACTGTGCACTTGTGTCGCTAAATCGCAAATAGGTATATTTTTTTGGTATTAAGAAGAAAAGGATGAAATTTTGTATTTTATCGTATTAAATAATTTCACACTTTAAATATTTTCAGCACTTAGTGTAAGATAGCTAAACTAAACAGCAATATTGATATAAAACGATGCAAGTAGTTTTGCTATAATTTTGTAGATGGTTTTATTCTTAGTTAGTAGTTAGTTTGGTTTTATAAATCTAATTACAACACCTCCTCTTTGTTTTTGCTACGTGATTAAAGAGATCAAGGTAAAGTCGTTAAAATATATAAAAAAGTCAGTTTAGGGTTAGCTGTGTTTTAATAAATTATAAAACTGGAAACTGCTTGCTGTTAGCACTACTGTTAGATTAGTAAATTTTACTCGTCACAATTTGTTAAAGAGTTTCTAATCTATTGAAATATACTCAATGAGAATGTGAATAAAAATATCATCAAGTACTGGTTAATATTAATGTAGAGTATTTATTTATCTCTCTTACAAATCTAGTCAACAATACATGCCGTATTATCTCGACTCATGATCAATATCTGTACAAGAACAATATAACATACTTGTAAGAATGCTGACATGACACCAATCAACTTGGCTTCCCCGCAGCCTGCTTCAACTACTTCCTTTAGGTGTACTTTGGAGTCTAGATCGTCTGGTAACGGCAGTGGCAGTGGCGGCTGCATGGAATAATAATATAACAATTTAAAAAAGAGATTTGAAATCATCTATTGTAATACAAATGTAAAATATTACTTTCAATCGTAAGATGAAGGCATTAACGTTCATTTCGATAAAAACTTAAACAAAAAGGAATTAGCTTTTAACGTACGTTGTTATCGACGGCTCCTTGTAAGGCTTGTCGTGCGATAACTTGCGCTTTAAACTTGTCCATTTCCTTTTGAGCGTCTATTTTGATTACATCCACTTCATTTTTATAAGCTTCTAGTTGGAACCGAAGACTTTCGTTCTCGCGCTAAAATCATAAAATTATTAACAGTGACTTCACAACCGCAAGCTGTATAAAACTATTAGCTGCGTTCACCGGGCCCACCTACTCGTATATATTTCTAGAAATAAAATATGAGCTATGTAGGTAAATTAAGTTTTTAAAAATAAAAATTAATAAAATTAGTTTGGTAGTTGTACAAGTGATTCGTAGAGATGAGCAAAATGTAGTGGTAACAGTTTTGTGTGTGGAAGTTGACGAATATAGGAAAGAGGACGACCAAGGAATAGATAAAAGGATTGCGTAATAAAGATGGGAGTAAGCAATGACCCATAATTATAAATTTGGGAAAGAGGTAAGCAGATTATGATGAAAATGAGTTAGGTAGTTTTAGAGTAGAAAAACAAAGAAATCTATCCTCTTTATAACAGGCCTGGGAAAGAAAAGAATAAGTGAAACAAAGCCAATAGTTAAATTATGTTCAGAAAAGTTCGTACCTTCAGTTGCTGTATTTCTTCGCTATTACTATCGGAGGCTTTGTTGCTGGAGAAACCACTAAAATCAGTTTCATCACTGTAAAATTTTTCATTGAATTCTTCTTTTAGTGTGTGAAATTCCTGAAAAGGTTTTTATTAATTATCGGCGTCAGTATCCACAATGTTGTATTCAGATTATATCTAACAATGTTAAAAATTAACTAAAAATACAAATTCAAATTATATATTTGCTATAAATGGGGTGGTACATGTTGTGGTATTAAAGGTTTAATATGGTGCGTACTTTTACTTAAGTTTAAAATTTAAACCAAAATTTTGCAATGTAATCTCTATGGTTGATGTTTACGAAAAGTAAACAAATTAAATCTCACTAGAACATTGCAAAAGATTGGTAAATTCAGATTAGAAGTAGCACCTAAAATATTAAACCTTACTTCTATTTACCTGTTATCAGCTGCCTTCTGGTTCACCTAAATGATTTACTATTCATTACAATAATAAAATATTTCAACATTATACCGTACCAATATATTTTAATTCTGTTCGTTTGATCCAAGATAGAAAATAGTGCATTAACCGATACCTTCTGCAACACATTAAACTGTCCTAAATTTTAATAAGTATTTGTATCCATTTTTTAACGAAAATTCCAATATCGTAATGAATAGCAAAATTGAATAACAAACCATAACTAAATAACAATTGTTTTGTAACAAAACAATATCTGTAAGTACCTGTGTCATTTTGTGCCAGGTTTCAATATTCTTCCTTTGTGGTTTCGTGAAGTGATCCCAGACGCGTTGATGAGAGGCAGCTACAAACACTTTCCCCACCTGTTCGACTGAGGTTCACAAATTATGTTAAAGAAATCGACATTGGTCGTTGGACCAAACATACCGTCGTAGTACATTCTCGATCGGTCGTTCCAGGCTCCCACTATGGGTGACGAATAGATCCAAGTCCCACGAGGGTTATACATCTACCTATCAAGTGCGTTGGTTGTTAGGTAGTCGCCTGTGTTGCAAACTCGCTGCACCTCGCTTTACGGAGTGTAGGTTGTGACGCAAGATTACAGAACTGTGTGTCAACACAGAGGAACCCAAAAGATCTGACAATTTATTTTATATCGGTTTAAATTATTGACGACTCTCTAAAAATATATTACAAAAATATTGTAAAAATAAATTGTCACATCAGCGATAACTTACAGATATGCCCATCATTATCACAAGGATAATGATGTTATTTAAATATATTCAGGGCCTGTAGACTTCTGGTGAACCCGGCAGATCCATTGACTGATTGACTACGGAGTATGAGCAGACCAGATTTGGTGCTAATTGCTTAAGGTTTCGTATAACTCTTCAAACCAATATTTTATGTTTTCGTGAGCACAGAAAACACAAAATGTGGTTGCAAATTATTATATTATGAGAAATTAGGGACGTCATACTAATTCCTCCATTTTTGAAAACTTCATGTCTGTATGCTTACCTTGGCAATATACATTAAACGCAAAGAGAAACGAACTGAGTGAGAGAGACGGTAAATCTGTATGACATTTAAATGAACATTACACTTGGTATAACCTGAGAAACATTTCACAGGTACATCACTTACGTTGTTCGATCACAGTGGCGATTAGGTTCTTGACTCTTTCCTTGCACTCTTGTAGTTCTTCCTCTGCTTGCATTTTCTCACTAAATAGTCTGCGTATATGAGAATTGGTAGTTTGTATCATTGTATAAAACTGATTTGCATTCTTCTTTGAACATTCCCCACGTTCTAACCAGGCTAACAGAGTCTGCATAAGTAACAAACAGATTAGTAATTTCATAGATGAAGAATAATCTCAAATGTGTGATAGTTTTTATATTTAGTTTACATACAGGTAAAGATGAAGAAAACTGCTCTTCACTTTTTATTTTTTCAGACAATTGTACCATAGCTGCATTGGAAAATGGCTGCAACCTCACTGGTGATGGAGACCGTACATAATTGCTCATGGACATCGAGCGATTTACCATTTCCTGCTGAGCATTCAAATGTTCCATTTGTTGCTGTTGAACTCTTAATGCCAGCCTCTGATTCCTTTCATAATCATTCTGGTCATCTCGACTCTGCAATAAACATTAATTCTCTGCACTTAGTCATAATGAATGCATTAACTATCTATCCTAAAAATAGTCTTATTTCTTGATCTTGTCTATCTGATCTTCTCTAATTTCATGGCTAGGCTGACATATTCTGTCCGGATGTCTTAATAACAGCAGTTTCGGGATCCCTCCTATCACAGGCGCAGAGTGGCACGCAAAACCCGGTGGGGTGACGGCCTACGGGGGTTTCCAAACGTAAAAAAAAGGCTGATTTATTCTGCTAGGAGGGGTCCGGATGGCTTAATAACAGTAGTCTCCGGATCCCTTCAGGCGCTGTGTGGTTTTAGTTGGTCCGATTTCGACACACCACCCCACATCAAACCGCAGGTGGGTAGGTAAAAGAAAAAGGCTGACTTATTCTGGTGTTCGTTCTACTTTTACTTTGGTTCGGTTAAGTATGTAGTGTACTAATAATTATCTTCATCTGGTTTTTTGTTATACTATACATAATAAAATTAAAATATAGTTAGAAAAGATAAATACCACTTAGTTCTGCAATCATTCATCATTAAACACATATAAGTAAAAATGAATTAAAAGATTCCGGTAAATTGTACAAAATAAAGTTTGCTAAGCCACAAGTCATTCAAAAATTTACGTTTTAAGTTTCATAAATAGTTTGGGAAATTATAGAATTAATTATTCTATGACAATTATTATATTAATACTATTTATTCCAGATGTTACTTAGCTAGTAACAGAAACAAATGCCAGAGACACACTGAGTATCTCATATCAGAGAGACACTGAGTATCTCATATCTTTAGTTTGACAGCATGCGGCTTATTATCTACTAATTGATATTTAAAAATAACAGGAGGCAGCTCCCAAATAAAGATTGTCTTAGTTCTATAGATTCCATGAACATACTAAGTTATTGATGACTAAATTGAAATAAATACTCACCAATGCATAATCAACATGCAACCACCCAAAGTTTGCCTTGTCATCGTCAGATTTATCATCATCTTTACTATTATTAATTAGTTTAATGCGATACCCAGATAACAATATAGCAGCTTCCACACATTCTTCTCTATCAAAGCGAATATGACAAAAGTTTTTCTTAGACAATCTCAAAGTGTGAATTCGGCCATAAGTCTCAAAAATTTCTCTTACAGTACTTTCCCTGGTCTTATCAGGTAAACCACCAACAAATATAGTTCTACACCCCGGAGGTCTGCTCTTGCGAGGAGGCTGAGGAGTATGTGAATCAGGCGGAATAAGCTTGCAATGTTTAAAAACAATCTCTTTTTTATCCCGAACAGTTGTCATTTCTGTACTCATGCTGGGGTACATTCCTATCATAGATGGATCCATCATCATTCCGCCCATCATACTTATATCCATGGTACTACCAGTTGAGGCAATAGCTTGGCTACCCATTGCAGTCATGTCTATTGATGTTTGTGGAATCATTTCCATACCAGTCCCCTGCATCATCTCCATTCCTGTGGAATGCATCATACTGCCACCCATCATTGTGCCTGGCATCATCATATTAGGATACATTCCTCCAGCCATCATCATATTTCCTAAAAGAGAAATATATGTAAGTTATGTATAATGCAGTTTTTTAAAACACAAAATAACAAAATATTGTCTCAAAGCTTCAAATAAATAAAAAAGGAACACAAATATATGGCATTATAGTAAAAGTCAAATTCTAGATCAAAGTGCTTTAGTAATGGGTCTAGCATTAATTAATCTGTATGAATTACACACAAAATTAAAAATTCATTGCAATTTTCTTGATAAAAACATTTTTTATATAGCCCAAAATCTACTTTAGCAATTGTTCTAAAGTTTAATATACTATTCAAATAGACAATTTACAGACAAACAAATTTAGCAATTTGATAATAAATAAATGATATTATTGATAATGTATTTACAAATAATTGTTTGTGCATTACCTTGTGGATACATATTTGTCATCATCATTGGATTCATTTGGGGGACATTTTGCAATTCACCTGCTTTAAGTCCCCCATTAGCTTCTTTGCCTTCACGTCTGCGACCTACGCTATCAACTCGCACAGGTGATCTTGAGCGGTCTTTTCTACTACCTGTTGAAAGAATTTTATGCATTAGTATAAGAATCAGTTATAAGTTAACTGTAATATGTATTTAAAAAGATGAAAAGATTTTAAAGTTATCTTCCTTATCAAGATAAGATCAGATGTATCAAATTACTTTATTATTATTACCCTTTTGGCTATTGTATGATTTGCACAGGATGAAAATATACTATTTTGCATATTTTTTTTATAAAGTTTCAAATGTAAGTTGGGTCCACTATGTTTACTGGACCCAACTTACATTTGAAACTTTATAATACACTGATGCTTAAACCAGTACTGAAGATCTAGCAATACAGGCATTGAAAAACCAATTAGTATTTTTTCAAAATGAAGCCATATATGAGGAATGTTAATTCTACATGGAATGCAGATTTAAATGTTTATAATGATGTCTTACTAGTCTTGATGCATTTGCAATAATCCCCTGCTACTATAATCCTTCTGTAAATAAATAGCTATATAAGGCTCTCAAGGGCTCTTTATACTTAACATTATGGTATTACTCTACTAGCCCTTGAGCTTTTTATTAAAAAACCTAATACACAAAAAAAAATATCCAGCTCCACTCTATCCATAGTAATCTTTAACAATTTTTCAAAGGTTTTGTATGATCTACTTAGCAGGTGTAACATACAAAAAAGTTGGGTGTGTATATACACATCCAAGGTTTTTTTTTATTGCAGTATTTTTAACAATTTTACTATAGGTTCAAAGCTTTCTCTCATTTATACGCGACACATAAAAAATTGCATCGGTTTCGCACTTTAAATATTATATTTCCAGCAGAAAGTTACTAGAAAGTTACTAAACTTTTTTAGGAAATTAGGTATGTACTTAGTTTATATGCCCTATCTGTGTGAGCTTTTTAGCTTCTGTAGTTGTCTACATAGAAGACTCAAAAATATGTGGCAGTTATTATTGTGGCAGAATTTTGATTGTATGTGTTTATAATTGGTTTTAAATTTGTTTCTAGTCATAAGGCTCAACCCCTTAGAAACTGGCGGTTGTAGACCGGCACACACATTTAATGGATTTACGATAGGTAAACATTTATTTTGCAAAATATTTGACAAAATAGATTGTTGGTATCATGTGTTGATCTATGACTTTAATTTATAATATTAAAGATGTTTTGACTTTAACTTTAGTTGATCTAGTAATTATGAGTATTAAATACTAACTTTGCATTGTATCTTGGATATCAATCCTTCGTTTATATTGTAATTTCGGACAGTGTATTTAGGTCCTTTCACAATTCTTCAAGTTTCAAAATCCTTGGTTGATTAAGATATTAAATCACAATCAATGACACTCCTACGATCAAATTTGACAATGCTCTTGTATTATTAAATTATTTAAACCAGACTGATAATAACGATACAATAAACTAATAACTATTTACTATACTCGTCACAGGACACATTTACCCCGAGTACTGAGTAGAGAGTAAAATGGAATAAAATCATAATCACATGCGATAAATCATATGATTTATAAATCATATCAACACATCTGTCAGTCACAGATTAGAGTCACAGATTAGAGAGATTAGATTTACAAAACCACTGCTACTTAATTAGAACGAAAGAAACATTCATTTCCACAGAATACAGGTGGTACCAGATTTAACAGAGGTGTATTGTGCAAGCTATATTCTGCCTGTATTAGGCATGCAAATATTTCACCCTGGGCAACGGAGACGGCAGCGCCTCTCTCCCTAGGTGGGGGAGGCGCTGCCGCCTGCGGCCAATTCCGGCCGAGGTGGGAACGGCCCGACAAGGGCTGTTCGGAGGGCTGCTTTCCGCGTGTCCCTCTGTTTGGCAGAGGGCATAGGGGAGAGCGGGCTGGGGGCGGACGGGTCCACTGCCGCTGGCTCTGTCCAGAGGTGGGGGACACTGGTCTGACGCAGACCACCGTCCGGCCATGTCGTAACCCTGACTGGCAACAGTCAGGAATGACGGCTCTTCGAGGGCTACGAGGAAGGCAACCTCTATAAAAAACCCTGAGGCGGACGGACCCGGTCTGGTGCAGACCCCGTCCGGCCCAGCCGTAATCCTGAATGGACAGGACCGGTGGATCTTCGGATCCGCGAGGACGTAAACCTCTATAAAAAATGCTCTAAGCCCACGTTCTGACGCCTGGCAAGGGGCTGAGTCGCTGGAGGGAGTCCAGTGCCGAAGGCGTCCCCGTCGAAGGACGTTAAACTTCACATATGACATGGGCCCAAAGATTGATAAATCTACCCAGGAGGGTACCAGACGCACTGCGTCTGGAGAATCCCCCCCGGAGCCAGACGGCTCCGGCAGCTCCCAAACGTACTCTGGGGGGAGCAACCTTTGTCTAACCTGCCCGTCGCCGAGCAGTAAATCCGGCGACCGAAATGACGCGGAGGACGCAAAAAACCTGGAGGTAGTGTCGAACACTGACACTGCCTCGGAGGTGAGTGGAGCGAGTACCCCTATGGTCTCAGCTGCGGAGTAGCACCAGAAGGGTACTCCAAAGCGCAAAAGGCGCTCGCTTCGCCTGGGCCTGAAGAGGCGATTGGAGTCGGCCTCGAGCGATGAAGCCACGGCTCCCAAAGTCGGCACAAGCCGCAGAGGCGCTCGCGGCGGAGGCCGACTCCCTAAAACCAGGGCTGCAGAGGAACCTCGTGGCGGCTATCGGAGTGGGAGTTCTCTCGCTCGATAGCCTGATTGCGGCTATCGTGCGGAGCGAGAGTGCGTGGAACTCTGCCGTCTCCTTCTGCGAGCAAGTTATGCTCGCGAAGGAGACGGCGGAGCGGGACCGGGAGAGGTTTAGAACTCTCCCGGCCCGCCAGGCCCGGGCACGGGCCAGGCAGCGCAGGCGACTTAGGCGCCGGAGGTCGCAGAACGACCTCCGTCCTCCATAAGCGCAGGCCTGGGGGTGACAGGTGAGGCCATCTGTCACCCTAGCAGAAGCAGGCCGGGGTGGCGGCGAGCGCGTTGCGAAGCGCGCTCGCTTCCAGGGAGCACAGGGAACATGGGGTTCCCACACGGGGCGGGGGTCGTCTACTCGTCTGTAGATGACCCGAGGTATGTCGGGGCACCAGGGCCTTCCTTTCTAGGGTATACCTGGTTCCCCGGCTATTAGTACCCGGCGAAGGCTTGCGGTTTTAGTCGGTTCGAGTCCGACATGCCACCGACAGGTGGTATCCGAGGGGATTTCCGCACGGGAAAAAAAAAAAAAAAAAAAAAAAAAAGGGCTGCAGAGGAAAAAAAGAAGGAGCCCCAACGCTTCTACGCTCCCGTGAAGAGGGTAGCGTCCGAGAGGTCGACAGACGTGACCGAGGTGAGGAGCAAAAGGGAGGGTGAGCTGCGAGGCAAAACCAGCAACCCCGTGGACCAGATCGAGGAGGAAATCGGCGTGGCCGATTGCTTGCTTCAGACGTCCGGGGTAGCCAGGGGTCCTGAACAGGAGGCCCTGGTAGCGGTCGTGCGCTCCATCATCGAGGCGGGACGACTCCTCGTGGACGAGAGCAAGGCCCACGCTAGAGAGAGAGCCCACCTCGAGGCGGATCTCGCCAAGGCTCGTGCCCACGCTGGTGCCACACCAGCGTCTTCGGCACCTTTGGCGTTGTCCGCCCGTAAGGACCCGGACTTAGTCCGACTCGTGCCGGAGATGGAGGAGCGAATAATGAGGCGCATCTCTGCAATAGAGAGCGCCCGTTGTCGCCCACCTCTGGCTCCGCCAAGGGCGACATATGCGGCCGCTGCCAGGGCGGGCCTAACAGCCCAGCCAGCAGCTAGGGTGGCTGGGCCGTCATCAGCGCCCCCGTTCCAGAAGGCCGGAAATTGCAAAGGGAGGGGGAAGGTGGCCCCAACCCAATCCCTAGTCTCGGCCCCGGCTGACACCGCACAGCGTCCGTTGGAGCGGGACTGGACGGTGGCCGGGGAGAGCAAGAAGAGGCGGAAGGCCGCCAAAAAGCGGCCAAGAAGGCGAAGAAGGACGCCGCCGCCGCCGCCGCCACGACGGGAGCGCCGAGGAAGCTCCGCGCCCCTCGCTCCTCGGCCGTCGTTATCACTTTGACGGCGGAGCCGGCAGAGAGGGGCGTGGAGTACGCCGAGGTCTTGACGAAAGTCAAGGCCAACGTGGACCTCAAAGCCCTCGAGATTCCGGGCGTCCGGTGTAAAAACACACGGACGGGAGCCCGGCTCCTCGAGGTCGCCGGCGCTACCAGTGGCCCCAAAGCCGACGCCCTAGCGGCTAAGCTGAGGGAGTCACTAAATGCGCCGAAGTTCGCATCACGGGCCTGGACGACTCTGTCACGGCGGACGAGCTCAGACTCGCCGTGGAGGAGACGGGAAGCTGCCCTCTGGACAGCGTGAAGGCCGGAGCAATACGCTTCGGCCCCGGTGGACAGGGGGCAGCGGTTGTCAGCTGCCCCATCGCGGCGGCCCAGAAGGTCGCCGATGGACGGAGCCTCCTGGTTGGAGGTTTCCTGAGAGCGCAGGCACGACTCCTGCAGGCCCGACCGGCAAGGTGCTTCAGGTGCCTGTCGGTGGGGCACGTAGGGGTGCACTGCACGGCGGAGGCCACCGTAGGTGACCTATGCTTCCGCTGTGGCCAGCCCGGTCACAAGGCGGGTGGCTACAATGCTCCGCTGCGTTGCTTTAGGTGCTAAAGTTCGCTGCGGGATGCGGGGATGGAAGTCCAGTGATGGATCCACATCTCCGCATCCTCCAGGTGAACATAGGCCACGGTGCCGATGCTCAGGATCTTCTGCTCCAGAGCATGGCACAGTGGTCCATCAACATCGCCGCTGTCGCCGAGCCATATGTCCATCGGTTTCTCGGGGCTGCCTGGGAGACCGACTTGGACGGCACGGCGGCCCTGGTGCACGGTACCGCAGCCGGCACTCCACCTCTTGCAGTAGTTGCAAGGGGACGGGGCTGTGTAGCGGCCATAGTTGGGGATATAGCGGTCGTGGCCGCTTATTTCACGCCGAACTGAAACCTAACTGAGTACGAGCAATGGCTCGCTCAGCTGGCCGTCGTCGTCGATGCCTGTCGCCCCCACCCGGTTCTTCAACTTCTGGGGACTTCAACGCCTGGTCGCAGGCTTGGGGTTCCCTGCGCACGAACCCGAGGGGCAGGGCATTGGAGAACTGGGCTGAAAGATTCGGCCTAGTTCTCCTAAACCGGGGGGCCGTGGCCACGTTCGTGACGGCGAGGGGTAGTTCGATCGTGGACATCTCGTTCGCATGCCCTTCACTAGCGCGTCGTGTACAGGGCTGGCGCGTCGTTGTCGGGGAGGAGACAGTGAGATGGCCGTTCCGGCTGGAGACTCCACGCGCTGGCTTCGCCGCCGTGGACGCTCTACAGCCGGTCATCAGCGAGTGGGCAGGGCAGCAGCACGGGACCCTTTCCTTCAGGCTGACGCAGGTGCTTTCCGGGCACGGTTGCTTCGGAAAGTACCTGCACTCGGTCGCTAGTAGGGAATCGAGTCCCGCCTACCACCACTGCGACTGCAGTGAAGACTCGGCCCAGCACACGCTGGCGGTCTGCCCCGCATGGGCGACGCAGCGCCGGGCCCTCACCGCAGCCTCACGGATCTCTCGCTACCGGCCGTAGTTCGCTCCATGGCCGGTAGCGACAGTTGTTTTACCGCGGTCGCAACCTTCTGCGAGGAGGTAATCTCGCCGAAGGAGGCGGCGGAGAAGGCCTGAACCGGGCGGCGAGGGCGCGCTCACCTGCGCCTCATGCCGCCCTGTGTGTGGCCGCGGGTGGACGGACTGGGTTTTCCCCTCCACCCGCATTAGTTTGGCCAGCCGCGAGGGGGCGACGTCCGCGTGTGCCGGACGTCGCCTAAAGAGAGGATTATCCGAGACGGATCCCGCACCAGGAGCGGGCTGGCGCTGGGTCCAGAAGGAGATAACTACCTGGACCTACCCCTAAAATAGAAGCGTAAAGAGGGCACACCGTGTGGTTTTAGTCGGTTCGAGTCCGACACACCGCCCCGCCGAACTGAGAACCCAGGCGGGGTGACGGTCTGAGGGGATTTCCACACGTTAAAAAAAAAAAAGGTTAGTTTAGACGCTAGTTAACAGTAAATCTAGTATTTTTTAAATTATTATGTAGGGAATGGTAGCTATATATAATAAAATAATTACTAGATTTATTGTTAAATATGCGAAATTGGTCTGAAAACAGATTATTGGAAACAACGCGTAAGTAGTAATTCAAACCTACATACGAAAAAATCTAATGATAAATCACCGGTCATTCAAATTTCCCTGTGATTTTGTATTTTTGATTAACATATTATTGCAAACAATGGTGAAAAGTTCGAATGCCATCAAACATTGCAGCAGGTAGCTAAAACAATTGGGTAATTCTGCAATGGATTAAAGGCCATAGTCATTCACAAGGGAACGACGACGCAGATAAGCTGGCATGAAAGGGACTGACAACATACCCATGTTGTCAGTCCCTTTCATGCCAGCTTATCTGCGTCCGGCTCAATCACACTTTTGCCATTGCTTTTCAACCAGTTCTGTTCCTTTGTGAGGCAACGGACCCGTAAAGCACACAACTAAAGATAGGAAAATACACCTGACTGATTACTTTAGAATTTTATTATTCAAGATCTCCAAACGCAAATTTTCTTAATGACATAGGTCTTAAGCTTTCACTAAAATCATTTTTTGCAAAAATGTGCTCGAAATCTATCAAAGTTACCCTCATTAACTTAACATTTTACGAAGTGTTAAGGTTTACGAAAACAAACAATATGGCATCAACTGGCAACAACATGTGATTTTGGCAAAAAATTTCAAATGTGACATTTGCCATTATTTTGTTTTGACATTTGAAATGTCAGAGAAAATACCGCGAGGCGAGTACTACCATATCATATTGAAATGGAAGTAGCTTGTGATATATATCGAATATCAAAATGTTTGTTTTGGCTGAAATGAAAGATGTAATCAGGATTACTCCAGAACATTTTCATCAAAGCTTATCAGAGTCAATTACCACATTACTTAATAGGAAACTAGCAAATAAAGTGAGTAAATTACCTAATTTCTAGTAATTTATTTTTCTTGAATTGGAAGCACATTCGTTTTGAGAGAATAGTGGACTTTTTAACTGAAATTTTCCTTTTTTATTTTTAGGTTGTTTTAAATGTTGGTTTATGCATAGCTTTATTTGACATAACAGATATTGGACACTCGTACATATTTCCTGGTGATGGATCATCTCACACTGAAGTAAAGTTCAGATATATTGTGTTTCGACCTATCGTTGAAGAAATTTTAATAGGAAAGATAAAAAACTGCAGTAGAGAAGGTGTACATGGTAAGTTCTAAGTACAGTATAATTCACAAAAGAGTCCATAATTTGTATAGAGAACTGATGTTAGTTCATCGGAAACCTCCTAATCTCAATAAAGTTCCTATATTGTTACTACATGTGTAAAGAACAGAAATGAAAATATGAATATATACGTAATCAATCGATTTTAATTTTTCATTTTACCAATTATTTCTCAATGTCAAAATATATTATTTAAGTATTCGGTATTCGGCCGAATAATATGTAGATATTCGGTATTCGGCCGAATATAATAAAAGCAGCCGAATAGGCCGAATACCGAATAGTAACCGAATATTCGTTGCAAGTCTAGTGTAAAATAATTATGATCCTAATGCAGTATCTACTAACAGGCGTCACATTAAAATCTGTCAAAAAATAATTGTTTTTAAATATTAAGGTAACATAATTGTTAACGGCCTTTTAAATGGCCTAAAAAATTTATTATAATACAATTAAAATATTTACATACAAGCATCAAAAAACTTAACGTTCCCAGAAGACTGGCAGAATTTACACGTTGAATGGTAAATGCTAATTCTCTGTGCTAGAAATGTACTCTGATCACGAGCTTCTCAACCCCAAAGGGTTCTATAATGTAATGCCCTACTAAATTTTGTTATTGGACCAGACCATTGGGTTTATGTATAGCTGTTCGTGCAGCTTGTCATGTGTGCAGCTTGTAAGTCGAATGCTAATCATACCTGTTTACACCTGGCTGTGAAGAGGTGCGGCCGAGTGCGTAACGGAAACAGTGATTTTTCAGAGTCTATATATTGTTGTCGAGTCTATATGTAATAGTCTATATATTGTTGTAAAGTGGAAGATATTTCATTGAAAAAACAAGTGAATGAAATCCTAATCAGAAATATGCAGAAAAACTGGGTTTTAAGCACATACTCGATGAGTGCATTGATTCTGCAACGGATCTTAGACTATAAGGGATATTTTGAAATCACATGGTATTTGGTATTAGTAGGACAGTTTGACTTGATGCATATATTCTTTTACATCAAAGATCAATCTTGGTAACAGATTCAGATCTTTCAGCACATGCTACATGAAGTTTTGTTAGTAACAAATTCATACTGCTTTAAAAAAAAAAGCTAGTAATCAGTTAAGTACATATGGGCCAGCTTCATCAGAGTGCTGCCACAGCCTTACAGAAACTAGTTGACATGTCTGCTTGTTTGTTTCTATAAAAAATAATTATGATAAAATTAATGGAAAATTTATTATTTCAGTGACCTTAGGATTTTTTGATGATATCTTAATACCAGTAAATGCCCTTCAGCATCCATCTAGATTTGATGAAACAGATCAAGCTTGGGTGTGGGAATACCCCAAAGAAGACGGAGAAAAACATGATTTATTTATGGATTCAGGTACTCTCTTGAGCAAATAATATTTTTTGTAGCAAAATTAAATATTTGTATGACTTAATTCTGGTAGTTGTATCCTTATTTATTAAAATAAGACACTGGCTATGAGCCAAACTTCACTAGAAGGTTACCATATTTGTAGGGTAACCACAGAGAAGACCCTATTCCTGTTGGTTCACCTGCCTTTGAGATTAACATGGAATCAGCTGGAAACTTAAAGGAATCATACAATAAAGAGCCAACATCAAGAATTTATTTTATATTTAATAAGATGTTTGAATTGATTACATGTTAAGGATATATTTATATCCTTATATTCATTACATATGAATAACAAAATAAAAATTGCACTATTTCATATTGTTATACCAAAATATATTTTATGGAAAAAAAACCCATCATGACAGTTCTTGGAAGATTTGTTCTTTCTGACTTAAAAACCTATGTTAATATTGAAGTAAATAGTGTAGAAAAATATTTATTTCAACTTAGTAAAAGAGATAAGCAAACTGAAAACTTTGAAGTGCATTATAAAGTTTAATAAACAGATGTTTGTTATGAACGTAAATCTTAATTTTTTATGAAAGATTACGATTATACATCTATTGTCAAGGGGGGGCTTTTCAGACGTACATGAAACGGACACAAAGAACACCCAGACACGGAACAACAATTTGTGGATCACACAAAGTGGTGTCCCATGTGTGGATCGAGTCCACAACACTCAGCGTAGTAGAAAGCGGCTTGGCGACCGCGTAAACCACTACGCCATCCGTGCAGTCAATTTTTATTTTTATTTTACAGGTGAGTCTATAAGATTCCGTGTGACAAGTGAAGCTTTTGAAGAGATATTTCCAACAGGGCCACCTGGTACTGAATGCACAACACAAACAATCGCACCTTACAGATTAGTTGGAGGAATTAATGAACCAGGGCTTGGACTTCTAACTTGGTGGGAAGCGCCCGAACAAGATGACGGTGATGAGAACGAGGATCAGGAAAATGATGAATAAATATTTTTCAAAGAAAAAATGTGTTTGTATTAGAGCTATTCTTTCTGACGCTTTTATAGTCACCACCATCAACAACCTTTAATATAAAGTAACCTTAATTAACCCTCAATAGTCCAGACACAGACATCTCCTTAGAAAGGTTTTGGCCTACTATACCACGCTGGTCAGATGGGTATAGAGTTTGTTTCAAGTTCTCTTTGCGGTGCTGTCTTCCTGCATAGTTTGCTCCTTAGTCGACGCTAATGACACTGACGGGATGAATAGGGGTGATGACACTCTGTATTCTTAACAGTCCTAACTATCAGACCGGTCCTAAAGATCCTAGCTCGATATAAAATAGTTTCGAAGCTATTGTAAACAACACAAAAAAGTTTTATAATACTGTATAATGACTATGGTAGTAACTTTTACAAATAAAATTTCAAGATATCTATGTATTTCATATCATGCATTTTATCATTGAATGCAGACAGTACTTGCTGGAATATCTCCAACATATTAATTAAAAGCTTAAGCGCGCGGCTTCGTTTTCAGTAGCATAGATTTTATTTCAAATAATTTAGATAATAATATGTCCTGGTTCAGCACTTTTCAAAAATGAAACAAAAATACCTTTTTTTAACGTATTGGTATGCTAACCGTATTGGTTCCTTTTCATTACTTCGACGTCTATAATACGCTGCAGAGATCGAGCAGTAAATAAAGAAATGGTGAATTCACAACATATATTTATTTTTTTTACTTTTTTTTATGCTCTGAAAATACTATTCTAGTATATTCCATATAAGTAAGTATAAAGATAACATATATTAATATGATTTTTATTCAATAATGTTGGTTACGATAATTTTAACAACTACAATATACTTAAATAATAACAGCCTAACATCACAAACGATTTTATGCGCACATTTACAAATAACATTAACAAAAACAAAATATAAAAAAATAACAATGTGATGGGTACAAAAATAACAAAAAATATTTTGTCCAAAAACAATGAGATTGTTCGTCTTAATTTCTTATTTCCAACGTCTTGTGCCTTGTGTCATGCAATTATAAAATATGTTCAATATAAATTATTTTCACTATATCGATGTCAAAACAAGTAAAATATGAATTATCTTGTTTCGAAGCTTGGTTGTGAATACCAACAAAATCATTTTACGATATGATTAAAAAAATCTTTCAATTCGAATTCAAGGAAATTTTCTCCTGGAAAATGCCTCATTTCTTTACAATAAGGAATACAATGAAAAAGGTAGATTGTAATCAATTCATGTATTCAACTAGTGATTGTTAGCGTTGTATGAAAAAGGTCATCGGTATTGGTAGCACAATTACAGTTAATCATTAAAAATGTTTAAGAAATTATAATCATGAAATGACTTGCGTGATATGTATCCATAGAAAAACTTGTTATTTTTAACAAGCTTAATTAAGCCAACTTTATACGTAATAAACACAAATAACTGGGTCTTATTTTGAGTGACATGTAGACACTACAACTACCAAATTACAATACATATTTTGAAAACTAACTTCGTACACAAGCGTCGACAAATTTTCGCATTAAAGCTAATCGTTTATGTAATGGTCAAGTGCAGTTAACCATAACTGAAATAACTGATAATAAGAAGCAAGAAACAAGATAGCAGATATTCAGTAGCAAAATACTTTCTATATTTAAATGTAAAATATTAATGGCTAGGTTCTCTTTGCTTTAATGAGTTTTTTTTATAAAATAAAGAAGTAACAATCCATTTTTAGACAACTATTTTTGCTAGCGGTATATTCGTGGCCAATTGTAGAATAGGCCACTTTAAGATTTGCCGACCATTTCATGAAATGGAGTATTCATATTCATGACGCTATAATCTGGCCACGAGTATATATTATTATACAATAACTAGTAGACCCGATAGATATTGTCCTCAAATCAAATAAACTCAATCTTAAAAAAAAGAAATTAAACAAAAAAATATATCTAAAATTCATTGCAACGCCACCTACCAGGGTCGTGTTCTGACTAAACCATCCAGAATCCAACAAACAAAAATAAATAATTCTACAGTTAAGTACAAGATCTAACAACCTCGTCACAGCACATCCTGCAGTCTTTCTCCAGTACAAAATGAAAGGAAATATGCTTTAGAGCTCTTTTTCGAAATTCTAGATCGCGATGAAAGCTTTGTTTTACATATTGTTGCTTAACATAAAAGTAAAAAGTCATGTGCTTAGTCTCTTACAATTAAGTATACCATTCAGTTAACTGATTTGCATAATATTGAAAGTTCTTACTTAAGTGTTGTTCATTATTTTGAATTTTGAACTAGGAACTTTGAATTGGTATGGACACAGAAGCCAGTCTTTGAATACTATGCAGACTAATATAGAAGCGAGTTAAAAAGAGGTTGAAATTTCTCGTCACTTTCTACATGTACTCCCCTTTTCTACTAAAAACTGAATACTCTCTATAAAATGTACCCACCCTACTGTAGCTCATAAACACTGATAAAACTTAAAACTAAACACAGATCTGATGTCTACACTGAGATCAAAAAACAATAAATTATTATTCTGCTAATAACAGTCAACAGGTTCTAAAACGTACGTAAAGTACCTACAGTTAACAAAATAGGCAATTATTATAGCTACATAATGTATAAGTCAACAGTAATATAATTATATTTGGTCAACTTCAGCACCAGAAAAGCTTGCACCGATCTCACTACATAAAAGCTGTCATTAAACATAATCAACTTATCGATCTGTTAATCTGTTTAAGTAAATAAACAAAATATAAAGTCTTAAAGTCAATGTAATAAATATGATTTGCTATTATTTGTCATTTAAGTTTATAAGGTACTAATGATTTTGTATAGTTGTCTACATTTAGATTTTATTTAAACGTATAAAGCAGAGGTGAATCCGAGAAGTGGTGGGCATTGTTAACATGTGCTATAAGTCGCCCGTCAAGCAAATGTCGTCCGTATTGCACGGCTTCAAACTCGTCCTTTGCTAAACCACAGTTTATAAGCCAACGCACGAGACATGACCCTCGGAAGACACACCGATAAGTGCGCATACGCCATCTATAATAGAGAAGTTGTATATATATAAAAAAATCTTCCTTAAAAAAAACATTTTGTTTTTTAAATATAAGCGTACCTTGTATCCTTAGCAATAGCTTCCCTACAGCGTTCCAGGTGATGGGTAATAAACTGATCGCAAACATGTTTAGTTTCAAAACTAAGGTCTTCGATTGGTGGCAATACAACAGCGTCTCCTCCATACCTGCGTTGAAATTAGAACATTAGGTCGATAATATGAAAAACCTAGTCCGCGTCAGTTAAGTTTACGCCCATATTTAAATTAAAGATAACGAATCTATTTGATACCAATAAATTACTTGACTCTACTCGTGCGATTTACTGGTCTTAGATGTTACATAAAATACCTAATTATTGTTTTATATATACTGCAATTTGTAATGACGATTTTTATCTAAACCAAGATTCCTTGTCTATGGCCCTTTTAATATGTAATCTACTTGTAATACATTAGTTTTTTTTTGAAATAGTAACTAGGTAATTAAGATTTAAAAAAATGCTTTAGGCAATATTCTCAAATTGTGTCCAATTTCTTAATCACAGAAGAAGCGTTTATTTAAATTACTGTCTGTTTAGGATACATATAATTTTTTTTAAATGTTTGAACTCGAATCGTACCATTTGGTCTTCAAAAATTTCACAGCAGGTATCAATATTTCTTCAGGATCGAGGCCGAAGAGTATGAACATGACTAAGGCCTGTCCATAGTTGGCCGTAATGTCCAAGAACTGGATGCCTAAATAAACACCGCTCTGGTCCTTTAACACCATGCTCCATGTCGTTTCAGCGATACCCTATGTAATAAAGACAGTTTAAAAGACTTCAGTTTTTTCTTTAGATTCTTTATTGAGAGCGTCGTCTACTTAGTCGCTTCAAAGGTTTTTGGTATTTGCATAATAAATATTTGCTTGCACGTTGCACCCATGCGGGTAAAAAAGTTTAACATTATTTTAATGATGTCTCCAATTAATAAAACTGTAAAAGTCACTGGCTGGCGCACGCATGACAGAAAGAGTTGTTAAACAAGTGGACCCCAGCATTAAATATTATCATCCTAATAAAATTATATTTTAAGAAAAAAATACTTTAGAAAAGCTAGTTATGAATACAACGCATTTAAACTTACAAAATATCTCATTATGCATGTTTATTATTTGTTGTATTTTTCGTTAAATTTATATGGTACCAAACGGGAAGTCGGTACACTCTAATGAAAATATTTTTAAAATAATTGAATCAATATATGAAATAATACTTAGTATAGTTATATACTAAATTAACTAAGAGCCTTTATTTTTTTATTAATTTAGATTGATTCCGATGACCACAACTCGTGATAAACTGCAAGGCGAAGAGTTCCATGATTTAGTGTGAAACCTATTTGATGATACTTCAAAAAAAATATGGAGATGCCATTTCTAAAATCATGCAATTTCTAAAATCCTTACACCGCTTGAAGTTAGGGACTTTATGACTTAGAACGATACATTTTACTGCTCATGTGACAGGTATAACACTACCATTATATTAAATAAAGTATATTCCCAGTGAATCAAGCTTTTCTTGCTTTAAGTTGGGTTCTGATGCTTTATTCCCGCATTTCTCCATGGTGTACTTATCAATTCTGTTACTACAATAGTCTTGTTTGTTATTTAGGTAAATAAATTATTCATTCATAAATAATGTTAGTTAGATTTGTAGTGGCAGAACAGTTTCATTGTACGGTCATTCGGACTTTTAAGTTTTTTTTATTTTTTCTTTAAATTTTAAATTTAGTCAAAGTTTTTAAAATGTTTTCTCTTTGTCATACTCGTAGCTCACAAAAACTAATAAAACAATTTTGATTAAATCTTTGCCGTTCTCTAAGTTAAGGTAAATTTCAGGTAGTTCAAACAAAAATGGTCACTATGCAATACTTATCCATTTTCAGAAAAACTTCTTGTAGGTACACTCCTTAAAAACTTTGTATATTTGATTGAAAACGCTAAAAGATCATCATCACTATACGTGAGTATTTTCAATAATGTAACATGACTATGTAACCAATTAATTAAAACCTAACAATCGAATAGAAAACGTCCCTTTTTAAGAAGAGGTAAAAAATAGGCAAAAAACATGACATGGTAGAGAGGAATCAAAATCTAATATACTTACAATAAACATGCTTAAACTGTACACAATAATAAGTACAGTGTGTTTCAGTAGCTGTCCGCCACGGCCATGACTTTGCTCCGGTGGCAACATGCCCAGTGTGCCAGCCGCACGCTCCAGCTCGTTCAGATACTGGCAAGCTCCCGGGACTGTGCAACGATGTTTCTGTGACGGCGGGCAAGCGCAATCCCTGGCGAATGGTTCAATAACACAATTTAAATTAATTACGTATAAATATTTTCTCGGCTACATTATTTTAAAAGTGGGATTACGACACATTACACACTACAAATAATAATACAAAATACGGTAATGATAATATAAATGTGACAAGTCTAAAACTTCTAAGATATTTCCAATAGATTAATTTACATAATAAGACAATAGAGATCGTAATAATAATTTATAATCTAACCATAGCTTTTTATTTTTTGACTCAAACTATTAGTGGTAAATAAATTTTCTATAATACAAAGGAAAAGGCTGGCAAAGAGAAATATTATAGCCATACTTAAAAACCAGCAGCAGCTGTAATCGTTAACAGCATACTGGTATCACATAAATATTGTGACCTTAGGGTCACAATATATATGTGATACCAGTATGCTGTAAGTGTAAAAGTTATATTTGCTAAGTGTTAGCACTTAGCGAATAATTTAATAACTTTTACACTTCTAAATTATTTATGCGAAAATGTGTTATAAAAGTACAGTTGCAGAAGGATAGATAAATAAAGAGAAGACGAAAGGCAATAGCTAGTGTTTCTAAAAATGATTTCTGGTCGTGATTGATCTGAAGATGAATGAAAAACTACGTTTTATTAAAAATTGTACTCACTTAATGGCACTCTCCAAGTCTTCGATGTCTTTGGTGTTTACTAATCCGTTCTGGCAATTTGGATCATTTGAACAACATCCACCTTGCTTGCTGGGCGATGGAGTTGCTGTTATTGTACCGTAACAACCTAAACAATTGTCACAAAATCGTTTACATATAAATCGCTTAGTTATCATATAAACCTGACCTAAACACTGGTTATTGAAGCTAGACCATATTAGTAAATATTTCCCAAGCCTTCATTTAGTATTTATTTGGAAATTTATAAGTATATATTTCCAAAAAAAATACTAAATGAAGGTAGGTGCTTGGGAAATATTTCCATCCAATTAGAAATATAAAAATTAATAGCTAACCTAACGTAAGAGAGTACTTACTCTTTGTATGTACGGCACCCTCGGTGTGCGAGTCGGACTCGCCCACCGAGGGTGCCGTACAAATTTGTACATCATAAAAAAAATAAAAAATCTGTTTAAGCTTGTGCCAATGAAGCCCTTTCATACGATACCCCACATGACACGGTTAATTCAATTCAAAATTTGGAGAGCCGTTCCTTGCATAAAGACCGCACGGATGGTGTAGTGGTTTAAGCGGTCGCCACGCCGCTTACTACTAAGCTGAGTGTTGTGGGTCCGATCCTCACATGGGACGACACTTGTGTGTTGAATTGTTGTTCTGAGTCTGGGTGTTCTTTTTGTCTGTTTCATGTATGTTGCGACACAGGATATTACATACACCAAATTACATAGTTCAACGGAAAATACCCTATACATTTTGATTCCCTTGAGAGTTCGAAATATACGTTTTTAGCGGCATAACGGCCGTATCTTATTTTTTGACGTTAACTTAGAAGTTTGATTTTTTCACAGCGTCAAGGGACTGTAGACCTGAGTATATGGTTTTAATTTCAACTCGATACTTCCACGCGTTCCCAAATAAAGGGTCTTGAAAGACAGCAAGACGGACGGACGGACAACAAAGTGATCCTATAAGGGTATTTACTGTCATTGCCTTGATGTGAGTTCGATTTATAAATATCTTTTATTTCTATAATAGAATAACATACCATTAACTGCAGATGATTCAGTCTGTGAGACAGGCTCAGCATTGTCTATCAGACTAGTAGACTCTTCTTGGGGGCTGGAGGTTGTTGCAATTTCGGCAGATAGAGATGCGTATTGAGCACTTCGACGTCGGAATCTTATGTATAATATCAGACATCCTGACGTCACTGTAAAGAAACATTTAATTTATATTTAAATGAGGTGTATGTTTTACAGACTATTTATCTGTATTAATGTGTATTTACGCATGTATTGCTAGGACTGACTGCATTTTAATCAAATACTTTTGTTATTTACTTTTTATCGAAATCAAATGCTGTTTGCTACATAAATATTTTATGATTCTTACTAATTTTTTTCACACCAAAACTACCCATGAATTCGACTACCTACAATCGATTTGTCCATCAGAAATTGCTTTAATGATAACGCCACCATTTGTAAAATTTGATCCTACTCTTGTATGTACGACTAAACTGGTGTACAGTAAAGTTTATTCTATTCTTTCCTTTTCCCAAAATTAATTTGGGGTTATCGCAATATGTTTCGTTGTAATAGGTTTTGGCTGGTTGCTTTTAGAACTGGCGCCTCCCTGACGCTGACCTTCCTTGAGTATGCAATCGATTTTAGGAGGGACAAAGAACGAAGGTAATTTGGGTTAAGGAAAACGGCTAGGAAGGGGGAGCTGGCGTAAGGCATACCTCATTTCTCGGACGGGACATGGACTAGTTGTTTAAGACAACACATACATTTGTCATGTCATTGAATTAAACGATTAACTAATATTTAACCTAAACTGTTGTCTAAGAATTGTAAAGAAAAGTGAATTTAAACAATTTTAAGCAAAACTCACCAGTAAGACAAAAGACTAGAAGACAAAATCGTATGGCATCAGTTGCTTTGCTCTCTAAGTCACCGGCACCCTTTGTAGCGAATAGAATTACAATCATTACGGCTGGGGCGCCCCACGCCACGAATCCCAGCACTGGCCACAAGGTCATTACGAAACATGGACCACGGCTCTAAGACATTGTTAAAAATTAAACACAAAACAGACAGACATTATTAAATATTAAACACAATACGGTAGTTGACTGTCAAGTTCAATCAGTTTCGTTGCCCAATGGTACGTTCGGTAGATATTTTAATGAAATAACAATTTTTTCGTCATAATTAGATATCGACACAAATAAAATATTTATAACTACTACTGTTGAACTAATCCTGCTGCGTCTCCTGTACACCAGGATTAACAGCAGTGACCCACGAACACATCGATTTATGACACTCGGGAATTCCCAGGAAAAAAATACTGTCTTGGAACCCGCAACGAAGTTAATCCGAAGAAAATTGGACGAGTTGGAAATATAACAAATCCACTTCCCTCCTTAGCAAACGGGAGATGAAATGAAGTAAATATAGGCATTCAGCTTTTTAAACAGGAAAGCACACAAAATATTAGGGGTCCTAAGTGAGCTATACTTATTTGATTTCTTTAATATGTATGGCAGAAACGCCTAAACGCACGGACAACACACTCATAATATAAAAAGAAATACATGCAAACGCTTACAAATTTCAGCACTAACGCACATATTGGCACGGTATTCGAACCTCCAACGCCCGTCGGCAGTTGAAAGATATAAAACAACATTTACATAATTCTTTTCGTCACTTCACAAATTAGAATGATCTTTTTTTTTTGTTTTAATAATTTTTAATTGAAACTGTTGTAACAGTGACTTTTACTACACATACATAATAATATTGCGTAGCTTATTTTCTTAATGAATTACTTAAATAACCAATTTGCTGTTAATCTGCGAAATTTAAGGAGTTACAGGGTTGTAAGAATATTGCATAATTGCAATTTAAATTCTGACTTTATAGTTACTTTTATGCGTTATATATTTGGTAATTACGTTATATACGTATACTAACTGTTAAATAGAGATAAAATGACAGTATCAGTTTTCTAATTTGGGCAACCTTAAACACGATGACATATTATTTCTTTACTAAGATTCCATATTCAATTTGGTTTAAGTACTTAAGTTATCTGTTCTAGAAGACTAGAACCACATAGAATTAAATAAAACACCCTGCAATCGTATTTGTTATGCATTGGGTGAATGTGAACCCTAAAGATGTAACTGTCCACACCTTAAATTATAAAGTATTATGTAAAACTTAATATTTAGTTTATTTACCTGTAGCATTAGAATACCGACTGAGAGCATAGACGTCCACAGTAAACAAGAGTACATACTGAATATTCTCAGTCCTTGCTGGGCTATAACACTCCAAGATGGTGTAACCGCATTCATTTCAGATCCACCCCAGACCACGCTTATTGCCAGAAGTAACTGAAATATTTAATTTCTGTTCGTTAAGAAATTTAAAGGAATCACTAGTTTTTGCCCGCGGCTCCGCTCGCGTGTTTCGGTTATCGCTGTATAAAGTAGCCTATATCCTTTCTTAAGAATCAAAGTATGTCCATTGTCCATGCCAAATTTCCTTAAATACGGTTCAGTGGTTTCGCCTGGCGTGAAAGCGTAACAGACAGAGTTACTTTCACATTTTTTATATTAGTAAGGTTTATCCATGGAACTGGCAAATTATAGTGCTTCTGGTTTTATGACAATATTAATACTTAATTTAGTATGAGTAGTATGTGTTTAGATCTACTATGTGTAAATAATAAACACTAATAAGATTGGAATTTTTTAATTAAACGATTTCATAATTAATGTCATTTAATTGTGATAGGCTAATCAAAGTTATCTATGGGCGGATAACTTGTCGTTGTCATTAAATGGTTGTATAAAACGACAAACCTGTTTTAGGATCGTTTTATCTGCTAGCAAATAAAAACGAGATAAGATATAATACTGTGTACGTACTTATATGAAAATAAATGGAGCTTTTTCCATTTAACCGTCGCTTCTGTTTGTCTGTGTTTTAAAATAATACTGGCAAAGCATAAAGTACTTTTTTTTGTTGGTTTGTAACATAGGATCTTAATATTTTAATATTTGTACTTATCTAAAAAACACAAAAGTGGAGACTAACAATTCGGCTGTATTTTATTCAATAATATTTGATGTAGATTTAACAACTATTTTGTTTTAACTTTAAAATGGCTAGGAGCTTATAGTTGCTTAACGAATAAAATCCAGTGTAATTCTCGGTTATGGCTAATACACACAATATATATGTATGTATTATAAATATTTTTATTTCCTTAGGTATTTCAGAAATGAAAGTATATATTATATGACTTAAATTTTGCTAAAAAAATCTTCATTTCTCATCCTCGCTTTCCACTTATTCGTCGGAGGAAACAAACCCCGTTTGCTACTTTGCTGTTCTATTTTAATGGATATATTTACAATATTCATTGCAAATGTTTCAATCTTATATTATTGTTTAGATTAGTAAACTAAGGAATGAATTAAAGAAGCTAACCTGAGTAGAAATTAAACACAGCGTCAATGCATGTGGCATCCTCTTAAATTTCTTAGTTACGGTGAACACGAAGAGTATCCAGACACTTGCGACCAGGGCCACTATTGACAGATCGAATCCATACCTTTTTAGTTGAACAGCGTAGTCCTTGTTAATAGATATCATTTGTGCTGACATAAACATGATCGGGGCAGACAAGAATGTACAGATTACCATAGAAGAGGCCATCTAAAAAAATAAAGAGTTTGGATGGAACTGGTATTTATACAAATAGATTTTTAATTGATTGTATGGATGGTCGTGTGTATGACAGGTCAGTGCTCGATTTGAGTGAAAGTTTACATGAAGCTAATCTTTAACTGGCGACAACGTGTCAAGCATTGCATTAAGTCAATGGAGACTTTAATTAAGGTACTTATTTTTTGTTGATTTTATTTTTGTGATGTAACTTACCAAATCCATTTCCAACTGGTATATATTGGAAAACACGAATACCGCAGGCGCAGTCGGTATAGTACCGTACAGGAATGCGTAAGTAGAAAGGGACACAGTTTCAGATTCGTTTGCACCAGCATTTAAAGCACTGACGCTTTCTCTCATCACTACTGGTAATACTATTCTGAAAAGTAATTATAAGTATAAATAATTTTTTAAAGTTTAAGGTGGCCAAACGAGTAGACGGATCACCTGATGGTAAGTGGTAACTGCCGCTTATGGACACATGCAACTCAAGAGACATAAGTGTCGTGCCGCCCTTTGAGTGTGTGTGTGTGTGTGTGTGTATCCCAAAACAGAAGGGGTGGAGGGGGGGGACTTTCGGTCGCCGGTAATTTCGCTCACACGGTGAAAAGCATAAAAGATTTGCTTAAAACCGGTTTTCTGTAAGATCTTGGTATCACCCCGGTTGAGCAGGCCCATGTGTCGAAGCATGGCTCTCCCACCGTCACTGACTGCACGGATGGTCGTAGTGGTTTAAGCGGTCACCTCTGCGCTTCATACTTCGTTAAGTGTTATGGGTTCGACCCCCACACGGGAAAACGCTTTGTGTGATCCACAAATTGTGTTCGTTTCATGTATGTTTGTAAAGTTCCAAAGAACTTTAGGAATGGCGGCATATGTCATGATATATGCCGCCATTTCTAATGCGGGAGTTTAAAAAAAACTTTACAAAGAAGACTAAGGTGGACATGCGAAGATAATTTTTGGTTTTAGCGGGATTATAGCTATCCTACTACAAGTTAAATATGGACGACTCGCGCACTAAGATGCAAGTCGTCAGCCATCTCTTATTTCCATCTTTTTTTGTAAAAAATAATAATTCAGATATCTGTGAATCGACTACGCTATGTTTACAATCGAATATAATTTCCAAACTAATTTATATATATATAAGAGATTTCCACGTATATAGTCACTCATCACGATATCTCTGGAATCATTAGAGCTAAAGACTTGAAATTTGGTAGGAATATTCTTTTCGCCGAGTAGAGGTCAGCTAAGAACAGATTTTAAGAAATTCAAAGAAATAATAATTAAAATAATGTAAATAGCAAAACAACGTTTGTAGGGTCAGCTAGTACTAATATAAAATAAAATAAGAGTTTTCCACGTATATAGTCGCTCATCACGATATCTCTGGAGCCATTAGAGCTAAAGACTTGAAATTTGGTAGGAATATTCTTTTCACCGAGTAGAGGTCAGCTAAGAACGGATTTTAAGAAATTAAAAAAAATATATGTAAATAGCAAAACAACGTTTGCAGAGTCAGCTGGTATAAAATAAAAAAATGGCAATTTGAATTTTGATGAAAGAAAAAATACTTACAGTTTTACCATGATGAGTACACAGGGTAGAAGAAGCGCAGGACCTTTTAATCTATGTATTTGTCCTACCATACGAAGTCCCAATAAAAATAGAGCACTCGCTGCAAAAGACTGACCAAACACCTAAAATACAAACATTTCAATATTAATAAAATTTATGACCCTACTTATGATTATTTCTAGAAAATCAATTAATGACAACATGTTGCATACATTCCATTACTAAAAGAGAGGACGAAGAAAACTATATTTTTTTTAATATATTTGTTCCAAATTAATTTCTAGCTAATATTAATATTTCTAAAAACATGCTTAATAAAAGTTACATAAGAATATTCATTAGAGGTAATTTAAATAAAACATTCGTAACATTAGTGTGTAGCGATAAAATCGGTCCTCCCAAGCCGTATTTTTTTATGGAAAATAATATTTTATAAGATCTTTATCTAAAGTGGTCAGATTAGTAGATTTTAAAACGTTCACGCGAATTCTAAAGTATCTATTGTGGTACTCAAATTACAACAGTTCAAGAAATTTAATCGTCTTTATCCTATTATTTGTAAGTTTCTGTAAAGTCAACATTCGAATCGACAGCATTGCTTAGTTTGTGCTCTTGGCTTTTTAAAATCTAAATATATATTTGTATAGTTCAAATGATACATTCTTGGTCATGGTCATGATACTCGGCAATTCCAAATACCTGCAAAATTCTATATATATATGTGTGTGTGTGTGTGTTAAATATATCATTAGCATTAAATACAGTGGAATAGAGTAGTAAAAAGAACGACGGACTCAATATACATATTGTTCTTGTTTCACGTGCGTCCACTATTGCACGGATAAAATGTTTAATATATAAACTAATTTCAATTCCAACCGGTTATTGCAATCATATATTAGTAGTTATTTAATAATAATGGTGTCCACACCGGTCTTCTATGGCAACAAATATTTTGTAACGAGATAAATGGGTATTCTTCATGTATTAATCTTTATTACGCGTTTGATGATGAAATAATTCAAAGAGCTCGCAGCGTCAGTTATAAGATTACTTAGGACTACAACTTAGTGTTTACAATATTATCAAGGCAATTTAAATAAAAAAGAACTACTTACCATTGATCTACGTAAAATAATTAACAAAAACCTTCAATTTTAACCACGGGATTCTTTTAATTGTTTTGTAGGTAGTTTTTTTTTTTACTTTTTACTTTAATTATAGGCACATGCAACTAAAATGTTAGACAACTTACCTGTAAAAGTCCTTCTATGTAAATAGAAATTTTGTGTTTAAATGAAACATTACCAAGGATGCCTAGGACAGTCATTGCTAGGACAGGATTAAAGGCTATACCTTTCACTATTTGCTTTACAAGTCTCAATTTACAGAAATTGGATATTGGTTCACCTTCCACCACAATTTGAGTCTGTTCTTTTTGTTTATTAATCTCCATTAGAACAAAAGCAATTGGGTTCAATATAGCGAGAGAGATTGGAGCCATCAAGTATAGGTATAGAGCGTATTCCGGATGAGTGTTTTGATATAATGCACTAACTGAAATAAAAATTATGTTGAAATTATGCATAATGGGACTTTTAAGATCATGTAAAGCCGCGTATCATTTCATAATATCAGGAACGATTTATAATATTTCAATTTAAATCGAACAAGTATCATTTTATCTATGCTGGATTATGACACAACTGTTACTTTTCCAGGTAAGAGAAAGTTAACCTATTTTTAACAATATTAAAACGAATTCATATCAAAGCCGCGCGTCGATATTGGATGGTTTCGTTTATACAAACTACATTTGTAAAGGTAAGTACAATATGGACACAGGGACTATAATATGTACTTGTAATCAGGTAAAAATTAAGTAGTAATTAGATCTCAAAACTTTTTCGGTAGAAGAACAGCGTTGTGACTTGCGAGACTTGGGTTATTAAAGATTATTCTATTCATTTCAGAAACCAGATTTTGCACCTGATCATTCGTTAAATTTTAGTTAAGATACAAGCAATGTAACAAAAAGATGTAAAAATTAAAAAATCATGAAAAGTCGAGCGACCGACTCGAAATACTATTATGGTTTTCGTTTTGAAATTAATATACTTAACTGATTTAAAGTTTGGGATATCAAATGTATTTATTTTCCGCAAAAGCTGCACAGAGTAAACCCCCTTTCTCCTTACATATACATCTAACATTGTTTGGCAGATTTTACGGTGATACCATCCCTATACCATAATAAGAATGCAGGATTTTGTGAATGTAGGCTATGACTGAGGAATTAGTATTGGCAGATAAAATAAGAGTAAATATTGTTTAATTAAAAGAATAAACATACTTACTTATAGGATATCCTAAAGCAAAATCATTGCTTTGTGTACAGAATATTGCGAATATTCCAGCTCTTCCTAAGTTCAGGGGTTTCGATACAAGCATTGTTATTATCATAACGCCAAAGAAAACAATTCCTTTAGCAAATAGTATTGCAATAAGGAACGTCCAGTTTACAGTGGTAAAGTCCACCTGAGCTAATGATAAAAATATAAGAGATGGTAGAGCAAAAGTACCCACAAATGTGGCAATACCTTTGGACTCGCTTGCTGATACGACGTTAAGACGACCAGCAATATATCTGCAAGTTAAAAACAATACAAGCATTAATAACCATCAAACATCGTAAGCAATGTAATTTTTTTATGTGCCTGTAATTTTTTTGCAAACAATAATTAATCAACATAAAACTTAATGTAATTCCATTTCTACATTACCCATTCGCTTAAAAAATGAAAGGGAATGGGTAATAAGTAAAGGGTCTTTTAAACTTTCGCGTTCCATGATATATGTATACCTAAGTAACTAATTATTACTTCGAGGATTAAAGCGATTAATAGGTATTACATACATTAGAATTGCCTGAAGATTCGACCAATGCCACTAGTACTTATTCCTCGTCTTAATTCTCGAGGAAATAATTATATAGCACTTATGCCTTTTTATAATTTAGTTAAAACAATCGATTTTACTCACAGAAGAATCTTCTTTTTTTAACCATGTGATTAAAAATGAAGATATATAATTTGGGTGTTTATGTACGAGTATTAAGTCCGTCCGTATGTCCGAGTATTCGAGTCCGTGTGGTGACGGCTTAAGAATACGGAATGTCATCACCCCTATTCTTCCAGTGGGCGTCGTAGGCGACTAACAAACTACGCAGGACAACAGCAATGCAAAGAGAAGAAAAACTTGAAACAAACCCTATACCAACCCGTCTGGCCAGCGTGGTATAGTAGACCAAACCCTCCTTTCTAAGGAGAGGCCTGTGTCCAGCAGTGGACTAGTAATGGCTGTTGATGATGATTAATTTCGAGTATGTCAAAAAAGGTACATAAAATGGTTTAATCTACTAGACATTCACCTGTTAATTACATAAGGCTTTTGGTGTCAAGTTAATACATATTCTTATTTTGAAATGATGTAGAAACAATATGCAAGATTTCATATTAGAGAAGCATGTTATGTTCTCGTAAGTTAATATAATACTACACTTGAAAGCAAAGCTTGAATTTTTGCAAACTTAATCTAAGTAAAAATCAAGTAAACAAATAAGTAGTGCTACTATAGTAAAATGTTTTGTGTTTAAACAGACAAATGAAAATAATAAACTATTTGGTTGTTATAAAGTTGCGAATTCAAAAATCGCGCATGGACACATGGAACTCAAGAATTAGGAGGGGAGGAGGTTTTGGACGTCCGGTAACGTAACACAGCTTTATTTGAGAGACCATGATAATACTTTGGTCAAACCGGCCCCAGGTGACATAGCATGGCTCTCCCACTTCTATACAAAAATGTAATATGTGTTTACTTTTCTTTCTATTTCAACCTATAAATTATTAAAGCCGTTACAATGTCGATAACAACAAAGAATGCACCGGCATTCTCACAAGGCTGGTAAATGGTTTGAGTCCATGAGATACAGCAAGAACAGTCAGCGCAACACTGTACACAGTACACTGAGTTCAATAACGAGGAATCCGGCTGTAACTTACGCAGACTAAGAACAACCAGAGGCAAGTGTACTACGACACGAGAAGATTGATACCAGAAATTAGTTTTGATGCCTTGGAGAATGTAACCCAATTAATTTTTAAACCATTTGGATCTGCAAACGATCCCAAACTAGAGTTATGTCATGTGAAGCTAATTGGTCAAGAGTTGTTTTCAGATGAATTAGAATGTATGCTCTCGATTAAGAAGCACGATGAAAGAAAAAGAGTATGTAGAAGAGAGATCTCCATCTTTCATATGCAAAGGCTTGGGGTAACAGCTAAGGCCGTCTGACACCCCAGCAGAAGCAGACTGGTGGGGCGGCCGACGCGCTAAGGCGGCTGCAACCATGGTTCCGACCCACGAGGGCTAGAAGGCATAGAAGGCCCAGGGTCAGTCCGAGTACCAGGGATTTCTTTTCCAGGTGTCACTTGTTTCTCTGGCTACTGGTACCTGAGCCAGGGTGCAGTTTTAGTCCATTCGAGTCTGACATAACCACCAGGGGTCAGCCCGGCGACGGCGTGCGGTTTTAGTCGGTTCGAGTCCGACATGCCACCGACAGGTGGTATCCGAGGAGATTTCCGCACGGAAAAAAAAAAAAAAGGGGTATCTGAAGGGATTTCTGCACTGTTCACCTTTTTAAAACATTAACAATTGAGCATACTTGGGATCAGCTTAAATGAACAAACCCTTCCCCTGATCTCGATCAAAGAGCTGAAAATTGATCTTATAGAGAATTGAAGAATAATTCCCATTTAAAGAAATTGGTATATTATTGCTTGCCAAACCGCAGAATTGGAATCGGAAACTGCAGAAATTTGACATACCATATTTATTAAATTGATTAATTGCTCCAAAAATAGGAGTAGTAAATTGTATTTGTCACTGTATTATATTTATAAAAATTTAGGCAATACAAATAATGTTCTTATTATATTTTTATTTAATTATTAAGGAAACAAAATTCTTAGTTTCCTGTGCTCATTATATATATAGGCAATCATTAACCAAGCACATGAAGAAAAAAAATTTGAGCTTTACTAAAATGATGAATGTGGGGCAATTGCAGGCTCTTGTTCTTTAATCTGATTGATGTACTTAGTGTAAGAGAAGTTGACAGTGTTTTTTGAATTGATATGATGATTGATGATGCACCACAAAAGGAAATTAACAGTTAAACCTTTTACTTTTGGTGAACATACTAATTTTTGTTTGTCACATAATTTGTTAATATTTTAATGGTTTTTAAATGCCTACAAAAATTGGTGGATAAAATGCAACTTTTAGCATATGTACATATGAAATAATTATAGTTTCATTTTTGTGAAATTTAATTTCCCTACACTCATGGTCAATGTTTTTAATTTCAATATTTTTGCACACACTAAACTATTCTCTCTCTAAATATCTCTACAATTATTAAAGTTAGTCAGCATTGTGTAATAATGCGCAAAAGTGACACAACATAAAATTATTATTATTACTTCTTCAAATTTGTTCAAAAAGTTGCTCTCATAATAACACACACAGAACTAAAATTAAACCTTTGCAAAATATGTAACATAATAACAATAATTCATTTATTAATTTTAATACAAAAGATAAAAACCTTAAATCCTTGTATCTTAATATTTGTCTTAAAGCTAGTTTACTATAGTTATAATAATAATTACCCGCATAAAATTATTGTGAAGCATTGGAATAGAGCTGGATATAAATTATCAGTACCATTTTCATTTTCAATAAGCGTTTCTTCCTCCATGTTGCTGAAAAGAATATCCTATATTATATATAAGACACTGCAAAGGTTTAGCAATCGAAAGTACCTATAATTATAGAAAAAAAATAGTTTTTTTAATTTTAATTTTAGAAAAAAATTAGTTTAGAAGAGTAACCGTATTTCGAAATGTTTACTTATCAACGATTCGACTGGTTATTCTACTCATCCTATAGATTTCGGAAACATTTAATTTAAGTTAAAAGTTGTGCGCACTTAAAAATGTTATACTAATAGGTATAAATAAATAAGAATACTATTATAAATTCATAATAATATTTACAATTTCACCTACAAATTTTTTACACATAAATTGTTATAAAAGATTCAAACACTCAATAACTAAGACCGAAAGTCATAGTATTGCAACAGCTGCAACTTTTTTAGTGTCCTACCTAATGTCTAATTTGACAGTAAGCTAGTAGTGTAGTACCAGAGTCTCGCTAGTTAAAAATATAGAAGTATCATCTATGCGCATCTATTTCTTTTCTCCAAGTAAATTCCAGGCGGCAAAATACAATATTTGTAGGCGTGTTATTGCAACTCAAAACGTAAATTCTTAAAAAAATGCAAAAGTACCAAATAAAATTAATGTTCTTAAACACAAAAGTGTAGAGAAAGCAAATTAAACATACTTCATAATAGACAGAATATTACTAAATTCAGATTTTTTTCACTAACTTCCTTTAAAACATTTTTTCCAGTTGAACCAACTTTTAACGTTTCGGTTCATAGATTATCGGATCAAGTGCGAGCTATTAAGCGATGTAATTTGTTGGATAGCAATGTACTTGAAAGGCTACGCTCAGACTTACAGATAAGCCTTACTACTTTTCCTCCTTCACAATCAGTTTCACATCTAGATCTTAAACTACTACAGGCTTTTCGGCTGAAGGAGGAGAGGAAATTGATGCTTCTTGTGTAAGTACAATGATATAATAAAGTATTCTTTGGAATTCGAATCTTGGAACATGGGTCCATGTCCATTTTGGAAACAGACCAAGTTTACCCAATTTATCGATGCATATGCGAAATAAAGCGCTAGTGTGTGCCCTTGATTATATATTACCAACATATTTTGAAAAATGTGAAAACCTCTGTGATATTCATTCAATTCTGTATTGTGCGGCCATTACTGCATGTCGAGTCTGGTTTCAAATTCCCAAGAATTGACATGGCTCCTCAACCTAAGTCTCTGATGCCGTCGTGGCAATATATGATTGAACGTCGTATTGCTGAGGCAAGGGCACTTATTGGTAGGATTATTTGTTTCAGATCAGGCAACACACGCACGAGAGTAATGCACTTTGTGAATCTGGCTTTTTCTGAACGGGTTTCAGGTCCTGTGATTATATGGCACGAGTCACAGAGCGTATTGACTTTCTGAAACAGAAGGTTTATGCATGAGCAAACCGTATACGAAGGTATAAAAAGAGAGTTGACCGATATACTCAGGATCAATATATAGAAATGGCTGTCATTTAAATCGCAATTGGAAGTCAGCGGGACCGGACAGACTGCATAACTTTTGGTTAATGTGGCTCCATAGGTCACAAATACGTTTGGCATCTCATCCTCAATCATGCCTAGAATCAGGTTCACTCCCATCTTTTATGACTACGAGAGTAACTCACCCACTCTATAAGTCTCGTAATGCCACGGATCCTATAAATTATAGGCCAATAACGTGTCTTCCGACATTATATAAATTACTAACGTCCATTCTGAGAGAGAGATAGTATTTCATATTACATACAACTCTAGTGTCTCAATCTCAGAATGGATGTAGGAGGGGCACGTGGCACTAAAGAGCTCCTAATTATTGACACGACTATTAACCAACAAGTTCGCCGTAACCGAAAAGCTCTTGCGACATGTTGGATAGATTATAAAAAGGCTTATCACTCTGTGCCGCATACGTGGCTCTTGAGGGTGATGGAGTTGTACAAGATTGATACAACTCTATGCATTTTTCTGGAGACATGTATGCGACAATCGAGAACGGTTCTCTTCTATCAAGGATGTCGACAATTTCAAGGCGATGGCGAATATATAATTATTTAGCAGGCTATATTTCTTATATATAAGCGGGGAACAAGTCTTTGTGGTTTTGCTTTTCTTTGAATCCACTGAGCACTATGTTGGAGGGTTCTGGGCTAGGCTATCGTTTGCAGAGAAGTGGTAAGTTTATATCCAATCTCCTTAACATGGATCATTTAAAACTGTTTGGTTCTAGTAATTCCATACTGATAAATTTACTAGAAATAACTTAACCTTTAGTGAAGTCGCCTGATACGATAGAATTTGGTGTTGATAAGTGTGCAATTTTGCATGTAAAAAGAGGAAGGGTTGTGGAATCTGATAGGATGGAACTCTCAGATTTATCGCACTTTAGGTGTCTCGCAGGTAACGAAACTTACAAATATCTGGGTATGTGACAGGCGTTAAGTGTAAATGAGTTCACTATCAAAAATCGTTACAGGAACGCTTCTTTAGCCGCCTGAAAAAAGTATTAAATAGTCTTTTGTTAGGTGGTAATAAGGTAAGGAACTATAATGACTGGGTCATACCAGTTCTCTCGGACTCGGACTGAACTAGATATTGAGATTATATTTTCCACTAAAATGTGGTGGTCGTGATTTTCTAAATGCTAGGACCCTCCATAATCGTGAGATATGTACCTTAGGAATTACTTCCCTTCTGTTAATGTAGATATGCATAGGGATGTAGTAGCAGTTGATAAAGGACTCACTCCGCTTGGTCTAGGTAATGAGAACTGGCGCAAATTTGCAGTACTTAACATTACTGATCGCTAGGAGATATGGAAGGTCAAAGAGCTGCAGGGACGTTTTTTCTGGCCTTAAACAGACCTGAGGTAGACCAACTGACGTCTGTATTCTGGCTACGATTCGGTGACCTCTTCAGAGAAACTGAAGGTTTTGTCTTTTTGCAATTACTGATTAAGTTGCTATGACGAATAATTATCAGAAGTATATCCTGAAGGATAGCACAATAGACATTTGTCTGGCATGTCATTATCCTGATGAAAGCTTCAGACACACAGGTGACTTTAAATTTGCCGTTTATATTAACACAGAAGAATCCTTAGTAAATTTTATGAGAAACCCGCATTTTAGTTTACAGATGGTACAAAAATATTGAGTAATTAGCATCACAAAGTTGTCTCAAGAACTCGCAATTTGTAGACATAGTGCAATCGGTAGGCGCGCAAGTGTCAATGACCTCTCCATCGGTATCGCATCTTTCGCTACATTTCATTGATAAATAAAGTACCTAACATATCATCGATATGCACAACAATTGATAAAAAAGGAATTAGAGGTTAACTTCCACTACTGTTTAACATGTATTTTAATAAATGTTCAAAATGTAGTCTTTAGATATCTACGTTCAAAATGTACTCTAGATCTTGTCTACCAACGTGTGGGTTGTGTTATGACCACCAATGTTCGTTATATTAGTTGTACAAACTCACACAAGTAAACAAGGTCTCGTCTGTCTACAAAATATTGGTACCTTTGATAACGGTAAGGGTGCAAGCTAGGGGTGTTTATCAGGTTCCACACTGCCTCTTACGATGCATTCCTTCTCTCACTGTTTACGTTTTGTGTGTTTGAATCAGTGACCACGCTGCTAAATATTTTATTCGGGATGAAATATTTTATGTTGAAAATTTGACCTACCATTTTTTTTTGCAAAAAGGGGGTCCTTAAGAAATGTCTAGTGCCTAAAAAATATGGACGGCAACTTCGATTTCACGTTGTATAATTTCCGGTTGTTCTCGTCTTGCCAACAGTGAGTACTTGCATAGATATAACCAAGTGGCCAGGATAGACCATCAGCAACTTGCTCTTAAGTATTACCTTGTGACTGTAGAGTTACCGTACTACAAATATGTACCCGAACCAGTTCTTGAAAATGGTCGTGCAACGTTGTACTGGGATCGCCCTATTTTCACTGACAGGACTATTGTTGCCAATAAACCTGATATGATAATAGACCGACCGAACCTGATAATAGACCGACTAGAGCGCCGAGCAATGATTTTTGACATTACCATTCCGCATGATGACAATCTCTTGAATGCTGAAAAAGATAAACAAGTATTTGGATTTGGCTCAGGAGATTGTCGACATGTGTGATGTGGAAACGGCAATTTTTGTACCGATAGCCATATCGGCCCATGGATTAATTACTAAGAGCCTCCACATCAGAGGCTCGCGTTAGGCAGTTAGATTAAGGGCCTGATGCAAAAAGCAGTTCTTCTCGATACGGCACTTATTGTGAGGATTCTCTCTCTCTCTGGAGTCCTAACCACCGATATCTTGGTCCCTGTATCCGATACAGTTTGGACAATATTTTTTTAAATGTTTTTTTTGTACATAAATATATTTAAAAATGTATGTTATATAATTATTTAATATAAAAAATAGAATAATAACAATAATCATTTATTTCAGATTGTCATCCATTTGTTGTTAGAATTATTAATAATTATGTTACTATAATAATAATTATAATTTACATTGATATCAAGTCTAATATGTCAATAATCATTACCGATTAAAAATGTTCATTATAACATGTCATTTTTTTAATTTAATATCTGTCAATTTCATTATATATATTCTGTGTCAACTGTCAACATTCTTAGTATACTATTATTACAGCACCAGTCTTAGTAGTAGTAAAATATTAAAGTATTACTAAGACTAGCAGATTACTGTTTCATTCATTTTCGGTTAAAATATGACATAATCACATTATAGTCAACGTTGGATGTTCAATAATTTACTACGAAAATACCTTTTATGACAGTTGTGAGATCGAAAGTTGTTCGGAACTGAATTGAGACTGAACTTTTATTACGATACGAGTATTGGTCTTCTAGTTGTTACTACAACATATCGATTATACTCACATCACCATAATCGATAATGGAGATTAATAAGGTCTGTACCAATATCACTTTTGTCGCAGAGGTAAGAAAGTTCTTGAGCTTGTATAAGGCCCCCTTCATTTATTCAAATGATGTGGTTGGATATCTTACCTTGATAATCAGTGTAAACAATCCCTCGAAGCACTCCCCATGACACAAGTGAAAAAACTGAAAATGCAATAGATCCAAGGGATCAGGCCAATTTGAAATATTTTGGCAATCGACTAGACATGGGACAAAATCACAGTGAACTATGATTTATAATTCGATTCGCACGTTGGTTATTTTTGCTACTTACTTACGCGTTGTTGCCAATAACCTGTTTTCAGATGATGCATCGAGACCCAATTATTCCTATTTAACAGTAAATCTAGTAACCCAAATCTACGTAGTTAAAAATCGAATGATAAATCAACGTTTATCCACAGTTCACTGTGATTTCGTCCCATGTCTAGATTGTTGCAGTCCAGAAGAAATAGCCAGTACTGTAAAGACTGAAGGAAGCCAACCCGTAGCTCTAACTTTTACATTAAATACTTACTGAGAAATTCTGTTAGGAGTGCGACGTGGAGTCGTGCCTGGTTCGGATACCTTAGTTTACAGTACGCTCACTTGGAGTCAAAAACATAATAGTATACTAGAGTAATAGACGAACAATCTTTGCGAATGAGATACCTTAGACTTAGTATACCGGATCTATATAACCTTGATCCAGATTTTGTTCAAATTTCAAATTTTCCTCATTTTCGTAATGTTTCCTAACCGTTCATTTACACAAGTGACGATCCAGAATATATATTTTTAATGCCATATAAGGCAAACGAGCAGAAGAGTCGAATCACAAGTAGTTTGCTACTTTACACTAATCTGTGGTCACAAGTGCGTTGCCATCCTTTGAGTCCTCCCCTCCAGAAATAAGAGGTGTTTTTTTGCTGCGTTAACGTGAGTGAGGTCTATGCCTCAATGACCTGTTTTCTGTGAGGACTATCACGATTAAACTAATAACGGGTTAATACGTAACCACGTAAACACGTAATCACGGTTAAAATAATAATAATAAACCGAAAAATGAAACCACTTTGATAAAGCTAGTCCTCTGTCAAAATTTGTTAAGAATTGTAGGTGTTCATCATATTTTAAGCGATACATATTACAAATAATCATTATTTCGTTGATCGTAAAAAGTTTTTAGTTGAAATATCAGTTGCAAGATTAATCGAATTTAATCCGAGGCAAATTGAGAAATATCCCGATTTCTTTGCCTCGTACCATAGAAGTGTGCCTATGGGTGGCTTTTATAACGTTATTCTAAACACTTGAGTGTTTCAATTGCTTTTCTCATTTTTTGGATACATTAACTTACTATAAATTTTAACAAACTAACTACTAATATATTTCGAGGAATAAAATAATTTAATAAATAGTTGTGTTTACTCTTTCAAATTCAATAGTTGTTAGTTGTAACGAATGTTTTAAATAATTGAAAGGAATACTTTATTCAATTTTCAGTATTGAGTTTTGAGAATACAACATTCTTTCTCATTTTAAAATATAACAAATTATCTTATGATTCCAATACTCATAGAATTCGCAAATAAGATTTTTTTATCATGTAAATGAATAAACTGAAAGGAAATGATGGGAATAGTATGAAATGTAGTTGTTTAACCTTTTAATCGAATAATCACTTCTCAAATTATTAAATGTGGCAATGGTAGGAAAATTTGTGAAATCCGTTTCCGGCGAGCGGCCATATTCTCGAAATATCGAGTTGTTCGTTCACCGGGTCTGGGGAAGGTCGCCAGTGAATGATAATTATTTAAAAAATTCCAAATTCTCTCTGAACGAGAGGTTAGTTTATTGTGTTGCAGTGATTTTTATTGTTTTTGCTATTGTTCTTATTTCCATTCTAAAGTTTGTTTTAACACATGCTCGTTATCATCTTGTTCCAGATACCAACTCGAGCGACCACCATCATACAAGTTAATAGAAAAGAGTTCAATAACTCGTCAAGATGCAGTACAATGGATTTCACAACCAACATCCTATGTAAGTATTTGTTCATTGATTGATTTGCATACACACCATACGCTGTAAATCATGTACTTCGCAGCCGCCATTTTGTGATGTACGTTCAGTCTGCTCAGCTGATAATGTACGCAACCTACTTTAAAAAATCGATATTCAAATACCGGGATAGCCCTTTTGAATTTCATAAAAATCTGCTATGTGTTAATAAGATTTTACTTACGCTTTTTGTGGCCTTAAGCACATTATACATACATGTAGGTATGTCCTTTCTAAACCGACGCGCTTTCATTTCTCATACCTATGTGGACGTAATCAATAAGTAGGAGATTGCGCACTAGCTACTTCATTGTGTTGGACTGTTGGCTTCTTTTTTAAAGACTTAACAAGTCTTTGTTGAAATCTGCACTATTGATTCGCAGTCCAAGGTCACAAAGATTTCCTCTGAATTTGGTTATTGCATAGATTGAACTTCACGTTCTTGAAATTGTAGAAAGTACTTAAAACTGTTTCTATAAATATATATTCAATCAAACACATTACAACTAATTATCACTCAAGTTTATAAATTAGATGTAGGTAGATACATACGATCGTAAGCCACAATAAAAATAAATGAAATATAATTATTTCCCTACCAAATACACACTATTAACTTCCTTTTTATTTCACCATTCATTAATAGATTGATGTTTAAAAAATAAACTTATTGGAATTTAAATTGGTATTTAACTGCATAGTCTGACAATAGTGAGAATGAATTCTTTCATCATCAAATCGAAAATATAATATTAAAAATATATTTTACACCCTGCTTAAGCTTTAATATAAGCTTAAGCAGGGTGTAAAATATACCAATCTCTGAAAGTAAAATTCAGTCATTCTTTTTGCATTTGATGGCCCAATTTTTTTAATATCAGTGAATCTTCAGAGTCACAGCTATTGACTCTGAACATGGTTGTAATTGTAGAGAATTTTATGTTATATCCTTTGAATGAGTTATGCTTATTTAATAATTAGCATACCCAATGAAAGCAAGTTAAATTGAAGTAAACTAGTTTTTTTTGTAAGCTCTCTTAGACTGATAACTTGTGAACGTAGATGGGGTTCATATTTTATTTTCATTAATGGTGATTACCATAATAAAGTCAATATAAACTTGCTTGATTAGGTCCTTCTGGTGATAGCTTTTGAAACTGTTTGAACTGTTGCATAGGCATTGTATAAAAATAATGAGAATTAATTGTAGTTTCATGTAGTAAATATGTTTATAGACAATATGTCAACAAATCCATACTGTAATGTTTCTATCAATTTTTTTTTTATTAATAATAACCACATTCACACAACGCCATCTAGTCCCAAACTAAGCAGAGCTTGTACTATGGGTACTAGACAACTGATATAGATACATACATACTTTTTTTTTTGTAAATACATACATATTATAGATAGGAACACCCAGACCAAATCAAACATTAAATGTTCATGCACACAAATGTTTGACTTGAGCGGGAATCGAACCCGCAACCATTAGAATAGCAGTCTGTTACACAAACCACTACGCCATCCGGTCGTGAAATCAATATCACTTATTCTTCTCATATATGTTGGGTACCAAATATTTTTTATTGTATGGGTGTTTAACAGCTGTTAGTATTTCTTTACTGTTCTTGGGTGAAGTCCTTGAATTTTAGATCACGTAAATGCTTGTATTTTAATAATTTTCAGTTTCAGACCACGACCAGACCGGAATGAACAATTCGGTAAAGTACCTTTTTTTAATGGACCCCATGAATTTGGAGGACCAAAAAACTTTGGTCCTCGAAACAACATGGGAAACAAAAATAATTTCCGGCCCAGAAATGATTTTAATGGCATGAGGAATGATTTCAATCACAAAAATGAGAATGGTGGACACCAGAGTGATTTTGGGGGTCCAAAGGATTATAACAAAATGAAGTCTAACTTCAATAATCAGATAATGAAGAATAATGATTATGAGGGGGATAAATCTGCCGCTGGAAATATGCAGTTTTATGGAAATGGTAAACCTGACTTTGGTGGACCGAAACCACAAAATTTTCCTAAAACTTTTAATAATCAAAATGGTCATAATAATCAACAAAACTTTGGACCAAAAAAGGTTTTTAATATGAATACTACACAACAAACTGTAGATTTTAATAACAAGCAGCGGGGCAAGAAAACCAAACATCCTGGTGATAGTTTGGTCAAGCCAATGTGGGATATATCAAAACTTGAACCCATTGAAAAAGATTTCTACAGGCCTCATGCTAATGTTGAAGGCCGTTCTGATGATGATGTGCAGCAATTTCGAGTGTCAAAAGAAATTACTGTAAGTGGTAATAATATTCCACGTCCCAATCAGATTTTTGATGAAGGAAATTTTCCTGATCACATAATGAATACCATTAAAGAACAAGGGTGGGCGGAACCAACTGGCATCCAGGCTCAAGGATGGCCAATTGCTTTATCTGGCAGAGATATGGTTGGTATTGCATCAACAGGATCAGGAAAAACACTTGCATACATGCTGCCAGCTGCCGTTCACATTGTACATCAACAGCGCATTCAACGTGGTGATGGCCCAATTGCCCTTATTCTCGCGCCCACTAGAGAACTGGCGCAACAAATTCAATCAGTCGCCCAGAGTTATAGTGCACGTGGTTGTATAAGAAACACCTGTCTATTCGGCGGTTCACCTAAAGGACCCCAAGCTAGAGATTTGGAGAGAGGTGTAGAGATCGTCATTGCAACTCCTGGAAGGTTAATTGATTTCCTAGAGCGTGGTACGACCAACTTGCGGCGTTGCACTTATTTAGTATTAGATGAAGCTGACAGAATGTTAGACATGGGTTTTGAGCCTCAAATCCGTAAGATCATTGAACAGATACGCCCAGATCGTCAAGTTTTGATGTGGTCAGCCACCTGGCCTAAAGAAATTCAAGCTCTTGCTGAAGACTTCCTCAATGATTATGTCAAAGTAAACATTGGCTCATTGAATTTGTCCGCTAATAATAACATTAAACAAATAATTGAAATTTGTGAAGAGCATGAGAAGGAAAATAAGCTCACCAATCTATTGAAAGAAATCTCCCTAGAGAGGGACAATAAAGTAATTGTATTTGTGGAGACAAAAAAAAAGGTATTATTTTTGTCTGATAAATTATAAATGTCCTAAGTATGTTATTTATTTAATTTTTTCCTTATATCTGAATATTTTTAGGTGGATGACATTGCGCGTGCTGTTCGTCGCAAGGGACACAAAGCTCTTGCAATCCATGGAGACAAATCGCAGATCGAACGTGATGCCGTGTTAACTGAGTTCAGAAATGGAGCAAATAGTATTCTTATTGCCACAGATGTTGCAGCACGTGGTCTTGATGTTGAAGATGTAAAATTTGTTGTAAACTTTGATTATCCTAATTCATCTGAAGATTACATTCATAGGATTGGTAAGTAATCAGTATGGCCATGTATAAATCCACATCTAGGACTAAATTAAATGAATGTTGCATTATAATTAATGTAAAAATATTTTAGGTCGCACAGGCCGTTGCCAACAATCAGGTACAGCCTACACATATTTCACAAGTGGAGATGCGCGTCAAGCTCGTGGTTTACTTGCTGTACTACGAGAAACAGGTCAAAATCCTCCTGCCAAACTCAGTGAGATGGCACGTAATAACAACAACAATTCAGGTAATTCATTTATTCTGCTTAAGATTAGGGACATTATTTTTAATGAAAAAACTAATAATGATTGTGAATACATTTTCAGGCCGTAACCGCTGGCAACAACGAAAAGAAAATAATAGTGGTGCTAGTTCACCACGACAACAGAACAATCAATGGAACAATAAGATGGCAAATGGAAATGCTGAGGACAGTCAGAGTGTTTACCAAAACAGAGGAGTCAATCAGCAAGCACCTCGTTTCTCCAATCAAAATCAAGCTAACCAAGGCTACAGGCAAAACAATTATCAAAAACAAGTACCATTCCCAAGTCCAAATGTTTTTGAATCTATGGGCAGTTATCAAGGAGGATATAATAATGGCTATCAGAATGGTTACAATAACCAAAATGGCTATGCTCAACGGCCATACAATAGTAATTATACAAAACATATTTGATCACAATATAAAGTTTATAGAAATACAAATGTTAATATGTCATTCTTATTATTTCCAGATATGCGAAATGGTCAACAACAATACCGCAATAACAACGGTGGTAACAAAAACAATGGCACTGGCTCATCATATGGATCACCTCCACCACACTTTGCTACCCCCCAACATTATCCACAGATGCATCCTCATCACCAGGAGATGCTTGGTAAGTTCAATCAATTGAAGATTAGTCTTTACAAGATTGGCTTAAGTAATCTGGGGTTGTAGGCATTTAAATAGATCTTGACCCACTGACCATAAAGTGACCATAGATTGCGACCATTAATCAACACATCGCAATATATAATATTTTTAGGTGGCAAATTCTACGGAGGTGGAGTTGGCGGCGGCGGTCCTTGTGGTTATCAAGCGGCCGTAGGTGTGAGCGGACCATACGCCCACCTGCCCCCTGGTCCACTGCTGTATGCTGCCCCCGTCCAGCAGTAAAAATCTTTGCCGACACGCCGCAATTAAGCCTATCATAATGATTAAAATAATTGTTTGCCGTATTAAAGGCATTAGTATTATCAACATATTATATTGATGTACTTCAACATTCTTTTAGCTCTCTTGTTCAACATTTGTGTATTAGGAGCTGTAAATCTGATTGTATTCTGATAAGCGGGGTGTTGAGTCTACATTTTAATGGTTATTTTATTACTTTCTTTTTTGTTAGATCTGAATGAAGCTTACAAAATTATTATTTTACTTGATAAGAGACATAATGTTACAATTAATGTAAATTGTTCATTTCCAGCTATAGATTTACATTACATATAGATTTACATCATAATTTGGTGTTTGTACGCACTGATTTTGTTTTGTGAATTCTCTTTCAGATCCATTTGAATTACAAGTTAATGTGTGTTAGGTTTATAAGATCAATTCTCTGTTGGTTGGATGTAACAATCCAATTTTAATTGCTGTGTGTTTACTTACATAGTTTACATGCATGTTATTAAAGTTGTGATGAACTTAGTTTATGACAAAAACATGTTTGAATACATTTCATTTATTCATAAGCAGTAAACCAACAGAGAATAATTAAATTTCCAAACTAAGATTGTGCAGTGGAACACTATATGAAAATCGTATGTTCCACTTTTAGATTTTAATCATTATATTTTAGAGTAGTTGGTGTAGGTACCCACTCGTGTAATCCCGGGTGCCTTTCGTTTTCTTTATCTGTGTGTCTGTATGATGTACGAAATGCACGAAACATATAGAAGATGATTGCGTTTTAGGGAAAAGGTGAAATTATCTAAAATATTTTATATGAAGCGATTGATTGAATCCAGTGGATAGTGGGACAACTTAGTGATAGAAAATTAAAAACGCGTTATACCAATGCTTTTGATATACTTCATAGATACCAATCTGTATTGCCAGATAAAATTCTGAATATTTTTCTTATGTAAAGGGATGTCAATGACATTTCAGTCACTGATTTCAATGTTATTTTTTTATTAAAGATTAGATCTTTATATACTTGAATATTATGCCTAGGGATACTAATTAGTCAGCGTCAATTTGATCTAAGACAAAATTGGGCTTGGAATAGAAAACTCGTTTTACCATTCGCAAAATAGAAGTGTGTATATAACATGCATTTATCTTAGAAAGATTAGTATTTTGTGCGTAATGAATATAGTCAACCACAAGTTTACTTTCATAGCCAAATAAGTGATTTGTTCTTATTTTTGATTATTTTTATGTCATCACTTCAGAGAATTCTGCTAAGTACTGACTGCGATTTCTTTGTACGTACACGGGTTCTGAAAGCTATTTGTAAAGAGGTGAATAGGTACAAATTAAACTGAAAGTTATTAAGTAGACACCCGTTACTGTCCAAAGATTTAGGAAAATCTGTGATATTTCATTACTATTTAACCTGTCGTTGCGTTGGTCAATTGTTAATACATAAGAGCACTTCCCCAAGCCTGGAAGGAATGTGTTTACTAGACAAAAATATATTTTTTGACTATTTGAACGAATTTCATAAGAATGTTTGTGACAACAAAGCTTGCACGTCGTTCACAAATGTATGATAATTATAATAGGTGTAAGATTTAATAATTTATTGTTATTCAATTTAGTTTTCCGTTTACCGTTAGGTGACGAAATGAACCAGTTCATTGGGACGTAAACGTTATTATCTATAATAAGAACCCCGTTTTATAATACATCTCTGAGATACGATGTAATAATGGCAACGGGTCTAATAAACGTATTAAGGGGTGAACAACGTGTCGTGGGTTTCGCATTCACGAAGAGTTAAATGCGGGACTTGCTTTGTTATTTGTGTACATTATAAGAGAAGACTGCCATGGAAGGTTGAGTTTATGTGCATAATTTCGTCTAAAAGATGATTTTTTTATTGCTAGCCTGTCTTTTTTTTACTATTTATAATTCAGATGTCTGTAAAGTCTGAAGTAGTCTCTCGTGGCGGTAGGACTGTCAGGCTAGTAAATGCGTGCGTAATTTAGAATGGCCATCGAGTCGAGGATCGTGTCCAGTATGTCGCGGATCGCAGGTAGCTCCTGTATTATTATGTACAAAGTACTGCACCCACCTCTACTAAACAACTGTGATAATAACACTAAGTAGCGTAGCAGGCGATTTATATACTAGTTACGTCCATGAGAAGGGATGACATCATATCTGACATATTGTATTGTGATAATATTTATATCGAAACGTCCAAACCACGTTTTGACAAAATGTTTTCTATAAACAAGACTGATTATTTCTTATAATAAATATTTTATACATGTTCCACTTTTGACTGAATGAATTAAGATGTCTGTATTTATATTGGTAGTATTTCTTCTCTTGCTGTGTGTTTCTCAAAAATTGAGTATCACTATGTTGGATATGTGTCACAATGCCTTTCTATGCGGTCACCAAATTGAAGTTGAATGTACATTTTGGGTTTGTTTATTGATTTCTAGTTTCCTTTATTATTGTGATGGAAAATGTTGTTGACAAATTATGTGGCAGCGGCGGTATAAAGCGTAACTCTAGAATATATTATTTGTTGTTATTTTGCAAAATTTTATTGATCCAGCAGATATCTCATAGGCAACGTACTTTTATGCTTTACTATTTAAGGATTTAGTTTTTCAAATTGGGAGTTTGTGAAAAATATACATAGATTTTTAAGTATGTGGCAATGCAGATCTTCATAAATATTGATTCTAGTATCACGAGCGACATACCTATTTATCCAATTTATAAAACATGGAGAAAGACTCCTTAAATAAAACTGTCCCAAAGGGAAGTCTTCTGAATGTTTCTAAGAAGTGCATTTCTTCTATGTAATACAGTATTAAATTCAGAATAATAAATGTATGATTAATATTAAAGTGGTAATTATTTATATTTTAGCAAACGTTACAAATTTTGTTTGTTTCAATCTTTCAGTGTCGTATCGTTTTCTTAAAACGACAAACAATGGAAGTAATCTTTAAATGTCTACATAATTTTTCGTCTTTGTCAAAATTAGCGTCATGGTTTTGGCTAGTATGCCAGGGACATCAAGCTGAACCGTGGTGTTTCGAAATGGCGATTTTTTGCTTTAAAATCGTTAGACCATTCAATGGGAGGATTTTTGGCGTCGAAATAACATATCAGAAAAGATTCCTCCCCTTACATTTTTGGAAACCTGTAAGCTTTTCCCACCGCTGAAAGTGAAAAACATAACGTTAATTCATTCTATTACCTAATCTTTCAAATGGAATAGGTCCCCATGACGCTCGAGTAAATCCCCATTTAGCATCATGGGCTACCAGTTAGTAGTAGGGGGGGGGGAGTTAAAGATTTATAGGTTTTAATCACATTAAAAAAGTAACAATACCTCTATAGCGATGTCGTAACAAAAACATAGTTTGGTTCGTTCGATGTCTGCACAGAGTACCCCCTAATAGATGCTAGGGATGTTAAAAAATAATCGATTTTTATTGAAATCGATTATTATTTTCTTATAATCGATTTTTTATTCTCGATTTTTATAGTAATGTTAATCGATTTTTAGTAAATCGATTATATAAATTACGTGTTTAAATCGATTTTCAGAAACAGCTCGCATCTATGCGACGAATGAAAAAATCTTGCAGTATGTTTCAATTTTAAAAACAGCGCCATCTATGCGTTAAATCAAAAATCTCTGCTCCGTCCGAAAGATTCTTTTCCAAAGCGGGAAATGTGGTCAGGAAAACACGAAACCGTATTTTAGGAAAGAGACTATCAAGATTATAGTTTTTAAACTGTTTACTTACCTGAAAATTTATGGTAATAATTATTTTAAATTTTATTATTGTTTAATCCTAGTCAAATGTAAAATAGGACTGCACATTTGTGGAAATAATTATTTTTAATTTTATTATTGTTTAAACTTGCAGATTAACGAAAGATTGTTTTTTATTTTAGTTTTAGAGACCATAACGTAGTTGTTCAGGATTGATAATGATCCTTTTAAGTATTTTATTTTAATACTAGTCAAATGTAAAATAGGACTGCATGGACATTTGTGACAATAATTATTATTTAAACTTAAAGATTAACGAATGATTTGTAATTTAGTTTAGTTTTTGAGACTATAGAGTAACCAAAGCCAAAACCTCCTTTCTAAGGAGAGGCCTACGTCCAGCAGTGGACTATCAAAGACTGTTGGTGAAGAGTAGTCGTTTAGTTTTTTAATTCTCATTTTAAGTGTTTTATTTTAAAACTAGTCAAATAAAAAATTCTCATCATTTCATTTTTATTATAATAAATAAAACGTTTCATAGTACTAAAATGAGTATTAATAATGCTATTTAGTTTCCTAATTCCCTACTTTGAAATTTTTCGAATAGGTTATTTTTTTATTCATATAATTTTATTTTATTTTTAATCTGATAAATAGTTAATATGAATCTCTTAGGTTTATTATTGGAATATGGAAAGCATATACTTTTAAATAATACAAAAAAATCGATTATTTATATTTAATAAAATCGATTTTTGGCAAATCGATTATTTTTTAATATAGAAAAATCGATTTTTATTTAATCGATTCTTTTCCATTAATCTCACATCCCTAATAGATGCCGCATTACTGAATATTTGTTCCGATTCGGTTTACCAAATTTGGCGGTATGCGCTGCGGGGGACGTGTCACATGCGCTGTGATTGGATATTTTTACACATTCATAAATTCTTACCTAATTACATACATACATTAACCTACATATTGATAATAAATAAAAGTAAGGTAGTAATGAATCTGCTAGGGTGGAATTTAAAATTTGCTATCAAGAATGTTGTCGCTAATTAGTCGAAATTTGTCGGTCACGGGTACAAAAGTTATGAGCGTTTATATGTGGCCCTACTGGGGTCGGTCTCCCCAGGTTGGCAACGCCTATATCTCAAAATCTTGGGCACCTAAAGATGATCTGTTTTCTCACAAA